AACAGACAAACAGAATTACATCAAACAAAAAATGTTCTGTAAAACAAAGAAACAATCAACAGAGTGAAGAGAAAACCTAGCAAGTTGGAGAAAATACCTGAGAACCATTCATCTGTTAGGACATTAATATCCAAAATATATAAGGAATTCAAACAACTCAATAGCAAGAAAACAACCCAATTTAAAAATGGGCAGAGGACCTGAATAAACATTTCTCAAAGAAGATACAAATGGCCAAGTAGATGAAAAAAAGTTCAATATTACTAATCATCAGGGAAATGCAAATTAAATGCACGATGAGATATCACCCATACCTGTAAAGATGGCTATCATAAAAAAGATTAAAAATAACAAGTGTTGGCAATGATGTAGAGAAAAAGGAACCTTTGTTGATGGGAATGTAAATTAGTACAGCCATTATAAAAAACAGTGAGGAGGTCCTCGAAATATTAAAAATAGGAATATCATATGATCCAGCAATCTCACTACTGAGTATATATCCAATAAAAATGAAATCAGTATGTTGAAGAGATATCTGTGCTCCCATGTTCATTGCAGCACTATCACAGTTGCAGAGATACAGAATCATCCTCAGTGTCCATCCATGAATGAGCAGTAACTTTAATCTCCTACCATTGCCCTATCCCCTCCATATAGCCTTTGTTTTAGGCTTACTGAGCAATTTATAATTCTCAAATAGATCACACTTCTTATTCTACTTAGAATATTTCCCTTCCCTAACACTTCCATCCCTAACCTTTGTTCTCTTAGCTAACTCATATACACACTGACTCAGCCACCTAAGTGGCTGGAAATACAAGTGCCCACCACCACACCCTGTTAATTTTTTGTATTTTTTTTTTAGCAGAGATGGGGTTTCACCAGGTTGGCCAGGCTGATCAAGAACTCCTGACCTCAAGTGACCTGCCTGTCTCTGCCTCCCAAAATGCTGGGATTACAGGTATGAGCCACTGCACCAGTCCACACTGAAAATTTAATGCTAAAGTTATCTGTTTTGGAAAGGCTTCTTTGATCATCTCTTGGTATTCTGTCATTCTTTCAGTATTGCCATTATAAGTGTATGTGTGCCTATTATCATCTTTATCACTTTTGTATTCTAACACCAATTCTAATACCATGCTGAGATGCACAATGCTATAGCATGGTAATAGCATGCATCAGTAAAGGTGCAGTGTGACTGATATCTCTACAAAACACAGAGCTGGGCAGTGCTCCTTTTGTGCTTTCTATGTCCACAGCAACCTGGTCACTTACACTCTCCCATACACCACACATTTGGAAGTAGCTGGGACCCCAGGACCGTCACCTGTGCTCAGCAGGATTGGTGAAGGAGGAGGATACTACATGGTGTTTGCAGAATTCTACTAGGAGCACCCTATCCTCCCAGCTCCCATGGGATTTAAGGAGAGCTAAAGTTACCAGAGGTTGCCCTTAGATACCGAGTCAGAAAGTTGTTCTCTTACCTTTGTTGTGGCTTAGATATATTTCTAGATATGATTTGTAGAAATATAGGTGTAGCAACGACATTACCTGAAATAAAATTGGAAAAGAAATTCTAAATGATAAAATAATAGACAAAAAAATTCAGATGCATAAAGGAAAAATGTTTATCTGGTATAGTAGGTATAGTGGGTATCCCTTCCCTTCTGATCAAGGAATGTGCTTAGTGGGGTTCCTCCTCCTCCTCTTCCATAGAACTGCTCCCCTCAGTCAGACCCCTTGCTCCAAACCAGTCCTTCTCCAGTTTCAGCTTACTGTTAGCTATCTAGAGTTTGGCCAGTTGATTTAAGTCAAGTTTTTAGTTTCTCTTTGGAGCGTTTGCAGTAGATAAAGCATATTATTTTAAACCCAGGAGAGGAAACTAAGAAATGTAATACAAACCACCAATTTCATGAAGTCTCAAAAAATTTAAGTTCTAGAAAACTAAGGTGCTATCCAAGGTCATTCACCTAATCAGTGGTACATGGGGCACCAAAGTGCATATCACTTGCAGCCATTCATTTATGCATTCAATCTGTAACAGGCAGACTGATGTAGAAATTTGCTGGCGTAAAATTTTTGTGCTGGAGACTCAAAGAGGAAAGAAAGAACATTTCCATCTTCCCTAAAGCAAAACTAGACCTTCTGAATTTCCAAGAAAAAGTCAAAAGATGACAACCCCATCCAACTTTTGTTGTGATTAGGGCCTTCGTGCCTGGATACCTGAAAAGAAAAAAGCAAGATGAATTCCTCCGCTTTTGGGTAACTAAAGGAGGCTTAAAGATACCCCAAAGCAGAAGTAACTTAGGGGTTTGAAAAGGGAAGAAACGTAAGACTTTCATTGCAGCTGGGACCCCATTGTGGGCTGGGAAAGGACAAGGGCTCCTACTTTCCTTGTAGTGTCATGAACCTGTTAGGACATAAGAAGTGGCAGGACATGGGAGGCTGGGAGGAGAAGGAATGGCCCCAGCCTGAATACTAAAAACCATGTCTTGAAATAAAATTGCTAAGGGAATGAGAAGATAGAGAAGTCCAAGAACCAAACTTTGGGCATGCTAGTGGCTGGAGAAGTGGATGATGAGCTAATGGAGCTGCCGGTGAGGTAGACAAACCAAGAGACAGGGGCCACCTGAAGGCCAAGGGAAGAAGGTGAATGCTTCAAGATGGCAGCTGTAAGCAACTGTGTTCTAATGCTGCTGATAGTTCAAGTGATATAACGGAAATGTAACCACTGATTCTGCAATTCTGAGGTCATTGGTGACTTTGCCAAGAGGGGTTTCAGTGGAAGGATAGGGGCAAAAGCCTGGCTGAAATAGATTCCACAATGAATAGGAGGGACGGGCATGGTAGCTCACACCTATAATCTCAGCACTTTGGGAGGCCGAGGTGGGCAGATCACCTGAGGTCAGTATTTAAGACCACACTGGCCAACATGGCGAAACCCCATCTCCATTAAAAATACAAAAATGGCCAGGTGCGGTGGCTCAAACCTATAATCCCAGCACTTTGGGAGGCCAAGGCGGGTGGAACATCTGAGGTCAGGAGTTCAAGACGAGGCTGCTCAACATGGCGAAATCCATCTCTATTAAAAATACAAAGAAGTAGCCAGGTATGGTGGTGGGTGCCTGTAATCCCAGCTACTCGGGAGGCTGAGGCAAGAGAATTGCTGGAACCCTGGAGGTGGAGGTTGCAGTGAGCCAAGATTGCACTACCACACTCCAATCTGGGCAACAAGAACAAAACTCCTTCTCAAAAACAAAAACAAAAACAAAAACAAAAACAAAGGCACAAAACCCAAAAAACAAACATCAGCTGGAATGATGACACATGCCTGTTGTCCCAGCTACTTGGGAGGCTGAGGCACAAGAATCCCATGAATCCAGACGGCAGAGGCTGCAGTGAGCTGAGATCGCAGCACTGCACTCCAGCCTGGGTGATAGAGCAAGATTCCATCTCAGAAAAGAAAAAAAAAAAAAAAAAGAGAGAGAGACAGAATGAATAGGAGGAGGAGGGGATGAGAATACAGTGAATATAAGTGACTCTTTTAAGACATTTTGAAAGAGAACATGTTGGTTCTCTTTCACATGGAAGGGGACATGTTATTAAGAAACTTTTTAAAAAGATAGGCAAATGTTGCACAATGTTAATATGCAAATGAGAATGATCCAGCATAGAGATAAAAATTAATGATGTAGGATTGAGAGGTGACAAATACTGGAATGAATACCTTGAGACTGTAAGGAAGATAGGAACTAATACAAAGGTGGAAGAGTTGAACTTAAATAAGAGCATGGACCGCTCATTCCCAGTAACGGGAGGAAATACAGAGTGCACAGGTCCAGATGTAGGTAAACTTGGCAGATGTGGTGATGGGAACTTTAACTCCTGAAATGCTAACCTATACTCTCTCTGAGTCTAATTTTTCAGTCTACTGAATTCAGCAATACAGTGAAGTTTAGTAGACCAAATTAGCCAAAAATTTTGCAAAAACATATGGGATGGAGACATTTTTACCTCCTGCTTTTAATTTTGACCGCCCTGGGAAAAACTATTGGACCCATGTAAAATTAAAATCTTTAATGAAAGACATTCTTTGATAGGTAGATTTAAAAGTTTTAACTTCTGAGAAAATATCACAGTTTTCAAAACATAAAGACATGTTTTTATTGTTAGCTAATTGCCCGGCTTCAACTGAAGCACAGTGTACGGTCTGCGTGAACTTCAACTGTCCACAATGTGGAAAAGATGAAGTGTGCAAGGCAAACAGATCTTGCCATGATTGCTGATGAAAGAAACTTAATCTCTTGGGGCCTGAGTTGCTTTATCTGTAAAGTAAGGATAATCCCTGCGTTACAGGATTATTGTGAGCTCCAAACAAGATAAAGCTCCTGGAACACAATAGGTGCTAATAATAATAATAATAATAATAATAGCCAGCTATCAGCTATCATCACTGAAGTGAGCTTTTTTTCTGACAGCAAACATTTTTAACTGATAAGTTTCTTTCATTGATAAGATGTAACCAATGGGGAAACTGGGGGAAGGCACACAATGCCTCTCTGCACCATGTCTGCAACTTCCTGTGAATGTATACTTACAAACGTTTTCTTCCTTTCAGAGAGCTATGAGAAATACCTGTATCCCATCTTGCAAGCCTCCGAGGCTCATTAATAGAGATAAATGTCTGCTGACTGTAGCAGAAAGGCAGTCACACATTCTGGTATGATGTTTTTTTTTTTTTCCCCAAGAAATGACAAAAGCCAAACGAAACAAACTGACATGGTCACTGTGGATTGGAATCTCAGTTTTTCTATCTAGTTCTACTACTTTTGGCTCTACACTGGAGAGGAACCAGTGTCCTCGTGAAAAAGCCAGTATAAAAGCAAGCAGCTTACTTCATAGGAATAGCTAATAACATTTAACTGTTGAGCATTTTACCAAAACCCACTCAGGTCAATTTAAGTGCAGTGCAGTGGAAGAAATTATTGCACATTGCAAAGTTGTGGCGCATTTTACTTAAATCTACAAAGGCCAACAGAAGTGGAGTGCAATATTAAGACATTATTGCAAAATATAATAATAATAAGGGGAGAAGGTGGCTGTTTCCGAAACCCTTGGCCCCGAGGTCACTGAGGTCACCACCTCCCAACCCACCAGCACACACCCCTCATTATTTCAGCATTTGTACTATAGGGGGTAACAGGACTTCCGCCCCACAGCAATGGGGTGAAAACGTGAAGTGATCGGAGCTCCCAGATGGAGGGACCACCACCAGAAAAGCTGGGGCAGGCTGAGGAGAGGGGCTGTGGAAAAGGTTGCTCTTGGCATCATACACGCTGCATCCTTCTAGGTCGGGTATCACGGATTTCCAAGATTTGGGAGAACCTAACCCCGGAGAAGGTGGGGGTGGCCCACGGAGGAATTCCCTGGAAAAGCGAAGGCAGCCCCAGCGGGAGACGCTGCGTCCACTCCCGGGGGTCAACTCCGAGGGGAGGGGGCGTCTGCGAGAAAGACGGGGGCGGCGGTGGGCAGCCAAGGGAGGAGGGGAGGGGCGAGGCGCCGTCGCCAGCCCCCTCCCCTCGTCTGCGCTCCCTTCCTTTCTCCCTCTCGCGGGCACCGGAGCGCATCCCGCCGAGGCCGGGCCGCTTCAGTGGGAGGTGCCAACACCTCGCTGCGCCGGGCCCCCGACCGAGCAGTAACCGGGACCAAGGAGGCGGAGCGGACGCGGCTCCGGCCTGAGCGGAGGTAAGAGGGTGGAGGGGTGGTGAGGGAGGGCGAGGGAGATAGCGGCCCTAACGCGGGCCGCTGTCAGGTACCCCCCGGTGCCGGCCACCTTTCCCCGCCCCTGAGGCCCAACCTCTCAGCCAAGAGACCACCGAGAGGCCCCGGGGACTAGAGCCGCGACCGTACCACAGGCCTAGGCGTCGCCGCGCATGCGTAAACCTGCTGGCGGGGGCTAGGGGCTGGATTCCGGGGCTACACCCCAGCCCAGGCCGCGGGGCAGTGGCTGCCGTGCACATGCGCAATTCCGCTGGCGGGGACTCGGTGAGCTGCTCTGGGACTACATCCTATTCAGACGCCGGCCCAGGCTGCGCCACGCTGCGCATGCGCGAGTCCTCTGGAAGGGGTCGTGTTTGGCGTCGTTCCGGGGTGCCCGCCTGTCCGGAGGCTGTTCTCATCCTAAGCTCTCGCGTGTGGTGTGGCTAGGCCGCGTCCCGGGACCCGGGGAAGGGTCCTGCCTGGAGTTTGCCTTCCTAACCCACTCTCTGCTCAGCATAGGTTGCTGATTTCATTTCCGTCGCCTCGACCCTAGGCTTCCGCCCCATCAATCTAGTACCCCAGGTTCCGGGCCCCGGACCGGCTCGCTGACTCAGTGGCAGTTTATGCTTTCGACATTTGGTCCTGATGACCAGGAATAGCGCAGAAAGTTTGACTTTGTTAAGCGAAGCTGTTTTGGAACTATGGAGGGATGGGAAGAAATTGCCGCCTTAAGCCGCCTTAATCACACACTTCTCTGCTCAGCCCTGGAAATACAGGTTTTCAGACGTTGAAAACTTTCCAAGTGCTCGGTATGGTGGAGAAAGAACTGAATTGGAAGGCGAATTTAGAATGAACGTTTGCTTTTGTTCTTTGCAAAAATTACATAAAATGTTGCAACAATTCGAGTCCAGGACTTTAACAAAGTGCATGTCGTAGAGAGCTACCTTGTACTGTGCTTGGCAACTTACCTTGTCAGAGCTGAATAAAAGTGGTCGAATTCACAAACAGTGTTCTGAATTGCTGCTCTTTCCCCCAGACTCCAAAGTGACAGTCACTGTTTAACGTTTATTGAGCCTCCTGGCTTTACACCTTCCTAATATTGCATTCCTGCTGGGCTTTACACCTTACTGGACACTGGTTCTTAGTTAAGTCAGTTTCCAGACTCCTGGGGCTACTGTGAAGAGTTTCTAACAAAGTCATTACTGTGTGCTTTGTAATCTTATATGATGTGCTGATACAGATATTTGGGGGCTGGAATAGAAGAGCCACTTAGGCTCAGAGAATGAGTACTCTAGGTGTAATGCAATCTCTTTATTTCGTGCTAGACAGTGCATGTGTGTTATTAAGCAGCAGATAAAAGCAACAAGAATGATACGTTCATGCATACCCCACTTTCCCAACTCAGGCCTTATTGCTCTTGTTGGACCCTCACTGCAGGACTTCTGCATTTGATATTTCCAGTGTGCTCAATGCTCACTTTCCCACTCCTCCCACATCTGCATGGCGCAGGACTTCATTTAAGTCTTGAAACAGTTGTCATCATTTCAGAGAGGTGACTACCTCATCTAAAATGGCTGGCTCTTCAAACTCTTGTACTGCTGGTTTGGCTTTGTAGCACTTAATCACTATCTGATATTATATGTTTGTATGGGTATGATCAATCTGTCTCCATAATTGGAGCTTAGAAGGTATTTGTTAATTGTCTAAATAAAATTGGAATCTAACTTCAGAGATATTTTTGTACTGAACTCAACATAGATTCATTCATTTTTTCAACAAAAATTTATTTTGTATCAGGTCCTGTCCTTGGTGCTTGGATGTATCAATGAACAAAAGAGACAAAGATCCCTTCCCTCTGGAGCTTACATTCTAGAAAAGAATGATAAAAAAACATATTTGCTCATTAGGTTAGAAAATTATAAATGCTATGAAAAATGAAAAGGGAGAACAGAGAAAGGGACTTGGGAGTGCAGATGTGGATTGCAATTTTAAACATCATGGATATGGTGAGTCTGAAGGATAAACGAAAGGTGACATATAACGTGGAGAACTGGGTTTTAGAAATGTTCTTCTGGGAGAAAACATTCTTTATCATGCTCTACAATGTCTTTTATGGGAGCCCACATCATGACCCTTGTGAGAAATGTCAGCATTTTTTATAGTATGTAGGTGAAAAAAACATTTTTTCCCCCAAACAAGAGTTCAAGTTATTCAGAAGTTGACAGTTTAACTCAGCACATCAAATGAAGACACTGGACCTTTACAAGGAAGAGACTAGTCAGACAACTATGTAAATCATGCTGAGAAAATTGTATGTTGTCTCCACAGTTTTTTGCAATTGCTTCTTAATGTCCCTCTGACTGTGGATGACTAGTGAAGATCTTTTCTAAGAATGGTCATTGCTTTTCTGTATTTGAAACTGTGTAGGAGAGGAGCTTAAATCACCTGGTGTGATGTTATGCTATAAGGTATTAAATGACCTCTCAGAGATTTCTGAATGAACCAGATAAACCTAACTAAATTTCAGTCCATAATTAAAGTAGGCTTAGAGAAAAAGGATGATGGAGAGGAATAATTTTAGAAAGTAAAGTGTGTTTCCCCTCATGTTCTTTACTTACATAGATTACAAAAACTCTGTTCAAACACCAAAATGCTATTAGTCTATAATTATATTACATTTTGAGTAAAGACTGGGTTTTACCTTCTTGGCCAGGCTGGTCTTGAACTCCTGACCTTGTGATTCAAGGAATTTGGAGAGCCAACCATTCTAGATGAGGTAGTCACCTCTCTGAAATGATGACAATTGTTTTAAGACTTAAATAAAGTCCTGTGCCATGCAGATTTGGGAGGAGTAGGAAAGTGAGCGCTGAGCATACTGGAAATATCAAATGCAGAAGCCCTGGGGTGAGGGTCTGCTTGATGAGCCCAGCAAGGACCATAAATGTAAGGAATCCGTGGAATTTGCTTATGTCCTATGAAATTGTCGTATTCAAGTTTGGATTTATAAGTTAGTTAAAGTGAAATTTAAATGCCCTAAGATACTGCTACAGTTGAGGTTTAGTTGGATCAGGCCAGGCTCTGTGGCTCACCTGTAATCCCAGCACTTTGAGAGACCGAGGCAGTCAAATCTTCTTGAGCCCAGGAGTTAAAGACTAACTTGGGCAACATGGCAGAACTCTGTCTCTACAGTAAAACAAATGAGCAAACAAAAAATTAGCTGGGCATGGTAGCACACACCTGTAGTTTCAGCTACTTGGGAGGCTGATGTGAAAGGATCACTTGACCTGGGAAGGTTGAGGCTGCAGTGAGCCATTATTGCACCACTGCACTCCAGCCTGGGCAATAGAGTAAGACCCCATCTCATATATAGATAAAAAAATATTGCTACAGATTAAAATTGTCCAGGAAAACAGAGATTTGAGACCAGGAATTATTGGGGTTACAGAGTGACATTAAGGACTCTTGTTTAAAGAATAAAAGAGAAGTATAGCCAGGCACAGGGCTCACGCCTGTGATTCCAGCACTTTGGGAGGCCGAGGCAGGTGGATCATGAGGTCAGGAGTTCAAGACCAGCCTGGCCAAGATGGTGAAACCCCGTCTCTACCAAAAACACAAAATAATTAGCCAGGCATGGTGGTGGGCGCCTGTAATCCCAGCTTCTTGGGAGCGGGAGACTGGGGCAGAGAATTGCTTGAACCCAGGAAGCAGAGGTTGCAGTGAGCCGAGATGGTGCCACTGACTCCAGCCTGGGCAACAGAGCGAGACAGTGAGACTTTATCTCAAAAGAGACAGAGAGAGAGAGAGAGAGAGAGAGAGAGAGAGAGAGAGAGAGGTCGGTCCACATGGAGATTTTACTTCAAAGGAGTGAATAGTTTGCCTCCTGGTAAGGGGTATTTATAATGTCCATCAATGGAAGTCTGATACTTCTAGCTTTCATTGTCTGGAAGGAACATGTATCCAGTTCACATGGTAATTACATTCTGACAGCGTGAGGGTTTTCAGGAAACTTAAACCATAATAATTTTTTAGATTTAATCTGACATTAGAGTGGGTTTCTTTTGTCTTCAGCCTTGCTATTGGCCTGAGCTAATATCTCTTATGTATAGCTTCCTATGCAAGATGTCTTGAGCTAAAGTACCAGCGGGTGATAGTATGTGAATAAAACATAAATTTTGACTGCATTATAATATGTCCTGTATTATGCTGCATGTATGCATGTATATAATACTGAATGAAACCAGACTCAAGTGGAAATGAGCCAAGGCCAAGAGGGCCTGCCATGTTGAAGGAGTATGTGTGCTGGGTCAAAGATCTTTAACAATTAGGCTCTCTTTGACAGGCATGTTAAGATTTTTTTGAAAACTTAGATTAAATCTGTAAGGACCTAAATTTAAAATGGATTTACAAATGAGATCTCAAATCTCAAGTCATGTTAATTTAATATAACAACTTAAAAATATTTGTATAATTTATGTTATTTTTTATTATTTGAAAATGATACTTTTGCTGTGTGTGGCTGAAAAGACCAAAGTTGGCAAGCTCAGTAATCTTTTCAATTAAATACTGCTTTGCTTTGTACTGAAGAGCTGACTCATCACTCTTGTTAAAATTTGGAAATCTTTTAAAAAAATAATTAAAATAGCAACAGTGTTTCTGTATTCTGCACAACAGTTTTTTGTTTTTCATGAACATATGGCAGTATCATTTCCTTTGAGGTCTTGTGCTAGTTTTAGTTGTGCTTTTAGTGCTTTAGTTTTGTCCATCCTGTTTATAATTGTTCCATTGTGATTAGCAGTCAGGTAGGTATTTTACTGTTAGTTATCATTTATTTTAGACAGCTCATTAAAGTGGAGCTAACATTACAGCTAACATCCTTTTTTGCAAGTGACAACTGGGATTATGTTTTATTGTATATGTATTTATATTATTTATAACTTGAAGATGACACTTAAAATGCTACTATCTAATGACTCAGCTAAGCATGTACTTGGGAACCATCATTATCCTATTGAAATGTATGTGGTCCGTAGCTCATTAACATACTGATGCTGTAAACTGTGTGCTGGTCCTCTAAAAGACATCGTATTATTTAATTTCCTGTCTCTTTGATTATAAAAGCATCATCAAATGTGTTGCCCACTCAGATGGGAGAATTTTAAGCATAGAGTTCTATATTGAGATAATTCTAAAAAAATATATTGTTAATGTGTTCCTCGAGCATAGCTTCAGAGTTGATCTCTTATTATCAAGCTGACTTTTAAAATATGTGACACTGGGACTTCTCTGCAGGAATTGCTATTTTTTTCACCTCTTCTTCTGGAATTACTTCTAAAGAAGAATTATTAGCATTTAGAAGCCCCTGATTAACTGCGAACTATCAGCAAAACCTACCGTTGGATTGGAGTAATATGGACACAAGCCCCTAAGAGCTGGATATTCTTTTGCTCTATGTTATTCTGTTTTCTCTCACGTATTTGCTTTCCTTTCAGTGCCTACTGCAGGCACTGAATCAATATTTGTTGAATGAATTAGGCAAATGAACCTATGTCCTATAATCAGCTTAACTCATTTTTTAGGTCAGAGGTATTACCAAGTAATATGACACATTGTGTAGCAGATACACTGATTAATACTGATTACCAAAAATAATATGTACAGACTGCCTATTATATGTTTCGTACAGGAAAACGAATTATTTGACTTTATGTGAGCATTAGGTATGAATGTGTTTATCACATTATCAAAAGAATGTCCTCTTGTTCAGTAGTCTTCAACTGTGTAGTTTTTCAGAGTGTAGAGAAAACTCTCAACATAGAATACATAGAAATAAGTAGTTATTTGTCCCAAACCAGGATACTTTGCAAATAAATTACTGAACTGTACAATTAGAAAGACAGCTGAAATAGGAAATATCATGTGACAGATTACCTTACTTGGTATATATTTGGCTTTGAAAAATTACTTTTGTACAGTCTTGAAATACTGGCCCCCGAGTGTCCAATTTGGAACCTTTAAAGACACAGATCAGTGGCAGGAACTTCTGCTTGGATAAGGTACTTATCATTCCATTTTCTATTTATATTGCAAGGCAAATATCAGTACAGTAAGAGTCTGGGAAAACAGTCTTAGATTACATTTTAATAAAATGCAGAAATGCATGAGACTTTTACGAAGAACAAAGCACCTTTTAATATGAATAACTATATGTCATATCTATATCCCAAGCAAACATACAAGGGAAAAACTAATAAAGTAATACATAGTAAGATAGTAAGATGATTTTACTGTCATCCCATAGTAAGATCATATGAGATGATCTTATGCTGTAACACTGTCACTATGAAGAAAATCTTCCCAGTACTGTTGCCAGCTTCTACTCTGGCTCTGCAAGAAGCATTACCTTCCTATGCAGAAAAAGGGGACATCTGTAAGCAGATTTAGACCATAAGTAGAAAGAACATTTTTACCATTTTAATACATTGATATTAAAACTTTTTTTTTTCTATTGTGGATTTTTCTTCCAGATATAGTAGTACAAATACTGCTCATTGGATATTTTATTTGATCATCCTATTTTTAAACGTCTATTTATTATTATTTTTTTTTGAGATGGAGTCTCACTCTGTCACCCAGGCTGGAGTGCTGTGGTGTGATCCTGGATCACTGTAACCTCTTCCTCCTCCTGGGTTCAAGCAATTCTCTTGCCTCACCCTCCCTAGTAGCTGGGACTACAGGCACATGCCCCTACCCCGGCTAATTTTTGTATTTTTAGTAGAGATGGGGTTTCACCATGTTGGCCAGGCTAGTCTCAAACTCCTGACCTCAGGTGATCTGCCCACCTTGGCCTCCCAAAGTGCTGGGATTACAGGTGTGAGCCACTGCGCCCGACCTATTTTTATTTTTTTAAATTTTTATTTAATTTTTATTTTTTTAGAAAAAGAGTCTTGCTCTGTTCCTTAGGCTACTGTGCAGTGGTGTGATCATAGCTGATTTAAAATTTTATTTATTTATTTTTTATTTTTTGAGATACGGTCTTTGTTACCCAGGCTGAGTGCAGTGGTGTGATCATGGTTCACTGCAGCCTCAACATCCTGGGCTAAGTGATTTACCTATCTTAGCCTCCCAAGTAGCTGGGACTACAGATGTGTACTGCCACATGTAATTAATTTTTACGTTTCTTGTAGAGACGGGGTCTTTCTATGTTGCCCAGACTAGTCTCAAACTCTTGGGGGCCTCAAGCGATCCTCGAGTGCTGGGATTACAGGTGTGAGCCACCATGCCTGGCCTTCCTAGGGTATTGATTCCATTTTATTTTATAGATGGCTAAAGAAATTATGCTTTGTAAGTTGTCATTACCAAATGTTTACTGATTTTTTGTGTCTTCGGTAAAGGCAAAATTAGAATGATAGAATTTTCACTTTAAGAATTTATTTTCTTTAACATTGGGTAACCTTCATCCCTCCATCCTGAGATGATTAATTTAGTCTTAAAATCTTGAAAACCATCTTGTTAGATAGAAAAGCCTTAGCATACCAATTCATTGACAGAGTTACATGGGACCTTTTATTCTTGGTATTCCCTCCACCAAAACTTTCCCATGAAAAACAATTCCCATTAAAGTCTAACCATGCATATGTTGGTATCCATAACACATTAACATAGTATTGTCTTCTGCATGTTTTAAAATTTTATCAAACAGTATACTATATGTGTCATTTTGTCACTTAGTGATTTTAGTCAGCATTGTTTTGTAGATTTACCTGTTTTGATTCTAGATAATTTATTTTAATAGGTACCTAGTGTGCATATGTCACAGTTTATCAGTTCAGTTGATCAATTTTGTTTGTTCTTTCCTGCTTTTTGCTACTGGGAATATTTGTGTGTACGCTCTAGAGTTCATCTAGAGCAGTGTTGCTAAAATTACGTGACTTGTTAGTGATCTGGAAATTATTTTAGTGGGCTGAGATCAGCATTTTCTTTTAAAATGAAATTGAATAGGATAAAATAGGATAGGGTAGGGTAGAATAAGATAGCACAAAGTAGAAAAAAAAAACATCAAACATCTCATGTAGGAGTAAGAATTATTTTGTGAAATTTTTGTTTCCGTTATATATACACATCAAAAAAGATGGAAAGACTGCTTCCATCTAAATACTGTTGAATTGTTCTTTAAAGTGATTGTACCAATTTATCTTTCTTCTAGCAATATATGTGAGTGTGCCTTCTCATCTACCTCCTCGCCAGCCCTAGGCATTGTCCCCTTAAACTTCTGCTAATCTGAAAGAAGAGATCTATCTCATTGTGGTTGCATTTCTATGATAAATAACATTATGAACTTGATTATCTTTTAGTATGTTTATTAATTTGTTCTTCTGTGAATTGCATGTATCTTTTGCCCACTTCTGAATTTTGTTGTTTGTTTTGTTCTTACTGATTGAGAGGCATTCTTTATATATTTTGTATATGAATCTTTTCTAAGCTGTTCATTATGTAAGTTACAAATATCTTCCTCCTTTCTGTAGCATATTTTTCCGTTTGTTCAGAATTACTGCTCTTTGTGGTTTTTGCTTTCCTGTCTTATGAAATCTTTAACTGCTCTGAGGTCATAAAGATATTTCTATACTTCTAAAAGTTTGAAAGTTTTGCTTCTTTTTTTTTTTTTTTTTTTCCATTTCCACATGGGTACTCTTTTATTTTCTGTGTGGAAATACTATAGATTAAATTCTCCTTAGTGTGCATTTTTCCTATGTTTCAGCGTCCAAATTGTTGAAACCCTCTCCTGAAGCTTATGAAGTATGATATTCAAAAGTTACATTTTATAACTTTCATATTTGTATGACAGAACATCTCTGCTGCTGACTTTTTAATAGTAGATAGTATGGATACAATTGTTAAACTATATTTTTCTCAGGTACAGAATGGATTGTTAAATTTGCAAGATAGTATGTTCTTTTCCTTCTCTGTTTATTTTCTAATAGAATTTATTTATGTATTTATATTTCCAGTCACATTAACTTTGCTCTGGAAGACAACTTTACAAGGATCTAAAAGGAACAGGATTAAAGATGACTGAATACTGAGCTCCAGAAATTTAAAACAATCAGGTACAAAAGTGTTTTGGAGGGAATGCTTCCAGTCAGTCAGTATAACATAAAACTATTTGGAATGTGCAGAACTATCCCTGAAGTACAATGGAGGGTCCAAGAACATGGGCTTTTGAATAGTCCTGGTTCAAATACTGGCTCTGACACTGATTGGTTGGTGACTATTGGTCACGTTACTGAAATGTGTGAATAAAATGGAGGCAATGATTAACTCGTTTCATTTGGATATTATAAAGATTGAACGTGATAAGGTGAGGCACTTAGTGCCTGGCACAGAGTAACTTTATTTTTACTGTTATATTATTGCTGTTGTTATTTAGAATGCATTGTATCACATCATGGATACGGTTTTCTGTATGTATATTGTGAATTGTTATTTTAAGTATATATATCAATATGTTGTTAATAGCCTGGTGAAATCACATGGATAACAGGGTAAGGTAATCTCCACATGTATTTCTCAAACTATACATGCAAATTGGGGATGCTGTTTTTCTCTATTATGTATGCATTGCGTTGAAATAATGTAAAAAAACCCAACCATCTCCCACAATGCTAAAAAATTCAAAGCACTTTTTTTTTTTTTTTTGAGACGGAGTTTCACTCTTGTTACCCAGGCTGGAGTGCAATGGCGCGATCTCAGCTCACCGCAACCTCCGCCTCCTGGGTTCAGGCAATTCTCCTGCCTCAGCCTCCTGAGTAGCTGGGATTACAGGCATGCGCCACCATGCCCAGCTAATTTTTGTATTTTTAGTAGAGACGGGGTTTCACCATGTTGACCAGGATGGTCTCGATCTCTTGACCTCGTGATCCACCCGCCTTGGCCTCCCAAAGTGCTGGGATTACAGGCGTGAGCCACCGCACCCGGCCTCAAAGCACTTTTTAATAGTACTATACAACAGTAATTAATCCTGATTTGTTTCTAAATCTTGAAGGACTTTCTGATCGACAAATATGAAATTATCTTAATCTTATATTTCATCCAAATTGAATCCTGCACATCATTTCTTCGAATGTGGTAATCTCCATGACATACATGCAATTATATCTTAATCTGATGTCAGATAAACAGAATGGCCTGCTTCCCACCATTCTAATTTTAAAGAGTTTAATTATACTTGAAATTGATCAAAGACAGTGAAAAGAGCATTTTTTTTTTCTACTCAAAAGCCCAGGATCAGTTTTTCATGATTTTAGCACATTAGCAAGATTTCCCTTCTGCTAGGAACGAAAGGGCCTAGAGTAATGCAGTGAGGGACAGTCACATCTCTACTTGGTCCCTTTTCCTTTTTTCTCTTTCCCTTTTTATTCTCCTCTCTTTTTATTTTTTTATTTCAGTAAACTTGGGGCAAATATGGAAAAGTTGTTTCTTGGTAGGATGAGGCAGAAAGAGAGGGATCTTTGGTACAACCCGGTTCCAGTATACAAAAAGCTGGGTTTTAAGGATGCTTTCTATGAATATGTTGTGTTTTACTCTGAGCTATGAGTTGTGGGTTATAGCAATGAAGGAATGAATCATTGTCTGCCCTTTTGAAGAACTTACCAATTAATAGAGAAGATACACTATAAAAGAATAACTATCGTATGAGGCAGAATATGAACAGTGCCATTAATGTAGTTAAAAACAAAGCAAAAAAAGTTCCGTGGAAATACAGAGAAGAGGTCCCAGCCCATTTGAGGAATCAGGATCTACATTGATGTAAATCTCAGTGGCAGTCATGCTGAGTCTTAGAGAAAATTAGGATTTTAACAGATCTGCTAAAATGCCATAGATAATATGTAGTAAATATTAACTAAAATGTCAAAATATCTTTCCATATTGTCAATCAGATCAAGTTTTATAAATTTTTAGGTGAGAAACTTCTAAGTGATCTTCTTAAACATAAGTATATCTTTTTTTACTTGTTTCCAAACATTAGAAAGTAATGATTTGCTATTAATTTTCATAATCTTGAGTCATAATAATTCTGAATAAATTCTGATTCCTTATATTCTGAGAGATCTTTTTGTAGCCGAGGAAAAAAAATTACTGATATACTTAAGGGCTATAAAACATTGATAAGAAACACCATTTAGACGTGGCCATATTTTGATTATTGTTTTTACCTGCCTATTATGAGGTTCTCACTCTACTATAGAAAATATCAGATAAAATGTCCTCATGTTAGTACCTGAAATATAGATTGTATTTAAGTAAATAGGACCTCACCTCATAAATTAGAAAATGCAACATCATTAAATACAGCCTTATTAAATTCCTTTTTGGAGGACAGAAACTATTTTATTTATTTTTAGTGATGAAATAGTTAACTACATAATGATTGAACCACAGTCCAGACATATTGCATAGCTTCTGCTAGGGCCGCTCCTGTTGTCACGTCTACTAGGTAGAAAGTAGGTGAAGTGAGGGTGGTGATTAAGGTAAGGACAATCAATATATTGCTACATATTTGATGGCTGTTGTTTCAGATTTTTCATTAAATCTGGAATAACAAAGCCACATTCAGTCATCTTTTTCATCATTTTCATTCATTTCTCCTTTTTTTCCACCCTAGCTTAGCAAATCATATATTCTTCTGTGGAGATGAGAATTGATGTCTGCTCTTCCCAGTGATTTGGAACTTTCCTATCTCAGAGAGAAGTTGACCAAGGTCTAAAATTTATTTTTATTTATCACAGGAAGTCAACCATGAAAATTTTCCACTCATTTCCTTTATAGTTAAGGGCTCACATATATTTTGAGACTACTTTTTTAGACCTCAGCAGGAAGATTCCCATAAGAGACCATCCGGTAGTTCTAGAATAGTTCAAACATTTTTTGTGTTTTATAGCTGTTCATTCCCATGCCTAAAATTTAATTCCTTTATCTTCCTTTCACAACATTTGAGCTTAGCTTATTTTCTCTGTTAGTTAGAAGTAAAATAATTTTAACCTGCCTAGTTCCATGGAACATAAGGGATTCTGATTTTACCACATACTTTTTCCTCAGGGACTGCCCAGGACTGAGTCTGTATGGAAGAAGAACTTCCTCTTTTCTGTGGAGACAGTGGCAAGGTTAGAAAAAATCATGCCCTTGGAGCATGTGTGTTCTGTCACATGAAATATACTTCATGAAGCATCTATTGGTCACCCGACAGGAAAATCAGTGAGATAGTATCTATCTCTGAGGGGCTCACAGTGTCATCACTGAGAGACAGACAGGTATTTGTTGTGGGTAAGGAGAATGCTGAAGGGATCGGCAGGGCACCAATATTCCTGAAGGGCAGAGAAAGAGCTCCCAGAGATGGTGACAGTGACAGATGAGGCACGAAGGCCATCCTCTACTTTCAGACAGTGCTGGCCTGCAAGAGGCTATGGGTTGAACAATGTTTATCCCATTCCCAGAGATTTGAAAAATTATGAACTGCCTCATCATAGATGGTATGCTCTCAATTTGTCATAGACATTCTTTAATTTCTTTCTTCATCATATCTGAACATGACAGTCATCCAGCTTAAGTCCACTCAGTGTCCAGCTGAGTTAAAAGCCTCACATCTTTTCTGCATGCATATTGATTTCCATCTTGTGATATTTTGTTCAGTTTACAAAATATCTGCTCGTTGCTATTAACAACTTAATATTAACTGTCACTATTAACTTTTGTCTGTCTCCCATACATATTTTATAAAATCAGTTCAAAATTCAATAAAACTGTAAACAATTATGCAAAGCCAGCATAGTGTGCAAAGGTGGCAAACCTTTTGAAACTAAAGCATAGCATTACCATGTGCAGACTTAAGTGTTCATTTGTGAGCCCTTGTAGGAAAGTCCAAAGTGCTTTACAGCAGTCATGTATAGAACTCGAGAGTCTTCCAAAATGTTAAAAGAAAAATTCCTAATTTTTCCTAGGAACAGGTTTCATAAAGTAAAGAATAGATTCACAGAATCGGCAGTGAAATTACTATATAATTACTACATAGTGATTGAACATATACAAATATATATACAAAGTGATATAATGAATGAATGTATATAACATAATGAATACAATATATAATGAATATATACAAAGTGTTACAATGCTAGGAAATACTCAAAAGGTGAGATGTTGGCGTTTTTTCTTAAATCTTTTTTGCTAGATATGCGTAGCATGTAATTCTGATTCTCTTTAAATATGCTGTATTTTAAATTGAATTGTAACAACTAGATAGTTGTCTGTAATTAAGTGAAGTATGGTTAGACACTCCATTATTCATATTGCTGGAGAAGAATAGTTATACAGGTACCACACACTCAGAGGAATAATAAGGTGCAATTTGGTCTCTACTTTTATTTTTAGGGCAGATATATTTCCTTAATTATGTTTTCCTTGAGTTAATATTAAAATTTCACAACTTGGCATTTCCCAAACAGACACCAGGTCTTGAAGGAAGGGGAGGTGGACTAGATACCAGAAAAGTAGTGGAAGAAAACTGGCCTGGGTTAATTATCTCCTGTGGTAGTGTTACTGCAGTAAGGAGGGTCACCTGTGTCAAACTAGGACTGAATTCTAGGGACACCATCTTGATGAGGCATACTGCCATACTGTCATTCCTTAGTAGTGCTTTTTTCCCCATACAGATTTTTCTCTTGTCCACACCTAGGTCTTGCTCAGCCAGTTTTTTACTGGACAGTTGGGCACGGAGTTGATTGGGTCCTTCTGCAGAGACAGCTGCTGTCATGCAGCACGGCTGCAGATAGATTGAGGCTCTTACGGGGGACTATTGTGTGAATCCTACATTGTTTCATGAGTGTGCTGGACAGAATAATATATATTGCTTCTGTGGACAAAGATGCTGTAATTCATTGAGACTGATACAGGTTTAGCATTCTTCATCCAAAATGCTTGGGACCAGAAGTGCTTGGATTTCATATATATATATATATTTTTTTTTGGATATTGGAATATTTGTGTTATACTTACCAGTTGAGTATCCCTAACCTGAAAATCTGAAATCTGAAATGCTCCAATGAACATTCCTTTGAGCAGGACCTTTGAGCATCATATTGGTACTCAAAAAGTTTTAGGTTTTGGATTTAGATTTTTGAATTAGGGATGCTCAGCCTATACTAAATATGTACTTCAAAAAATGCAAATACATGCATTTTATAAATTTAGTCATCAGTTCTCTAGGCAATAGTTACCCAACAGACTTAAAAATTGAGTCTTTGGTAACTGAGCTCCAACAGCCAGCCTTCTGCCAGAGATTTAAAAGCAGTGTATTCACATCTCTGTTGTACTTAAGTTATATTGTAATTATTTGTTTTCCATTAAATTGTGACCTCCTTGAAGGGAATTGTCATGTCTTATTTTTGTATCTTAGTCAATGATACTATCATATCCCACATTCTCTTGACTTGTAGCAGCATTTCATAAAACTTACAGACTGAAGGTTTCATTAAAGAAAATACATACATTGGAATCCCAGTAGCCAGTAGAGTTATGGGCTGGGTACCATAGGTTTTTATGCAGGTGGGCCAGGAAGAAAGCCTACAACTAGTCATTTGTAGACAGGTGTTTAAGAGCTGGCTGGAATTTACAGCCTGATTCTAGGCATCCAGAAAACCACTTGATTTTATAGCAGGGCAGGATGAAATACAAAAATCTACTTGTAAGGGAAAAATTAAATAGCAGTCAGTCATTGTATATTTCCATCTGTGCTGTGTATGAAAGACAATCCACAGTAGGTGTTATTGCCCTGTTCCTTAAGGTCTCTCAGAGTAGCCGAAGTGCTGCAAATGCAAGCAAACACTAGGTCTACCAGCATTATCACAGTTTATGTAAACCTTTTACTCAGCAATCAGATGATATGTAGAAAGAACTCTGGGCTTTAATCTGGCTCACCCACTGAGAAGCTAGTGATCTTGGAAGACGACTTAGTTTCCCTGTGTCCCAGTTTCCCCACAGGTAACACGAGGATGACAATATCTATGTCCTGCAATTGTTGTGAAGATCATAAATAATATATAACAATTATTAACCAGATTATTAATACATCTACATTAAATACTTGTTCCACTTCCACTTCCTAAACCTTGATCTTTTGGAAATTTACAGACTTAAAATAGGAAAAAAGTTAAAAATGAAGACCTCATAGAAAATAAGATTTCTGCATGATATTGGGTGGTGGGGCAATTTAAACCTTGACTAAAAACAAACATAACAAAAGTCCTTTCTTAGCTCTATCATGGCCTTGGGCAAGCTCTTTTTTCAGTAAACCAAGTATCACAGAGAAGAAATACAAATTTTAAATAAAGATCCTTGGATTCCTAGATTAATGTAGCATCGCCATAGAACATTGTGTGTTCCTAAAATATATATATAATAAAAATAGGGACATAATTTGACACTTGCATATAACTATAAACTCTTATATATGTGAGTTTTTTTTAATTCCAAATTCCAAATTAAGGTTGTCCTGTAGGAAATGCCTGTGAATTTTCCGACCTCTAAAATTTTTTTGCAAAGTACTCTGATAACTAAAGTAAACACAAATAGTAAGCACTTTTTCAAAAGTGAATGGGAGAACCAACTGTTGGTGCTGCCCAAAAGATAACAGAAGGTGTCCTTCTTAGGGCAAGGTCTTATGATCCAAGTGGCATGGGAGGGAACATGACTGGATTTGGCATCGGGACAGCTTGGCCCTGGTTCAGGCTCTGCCACTAACTCACAGGGTGATGCTATTAGCAGGGACAAGCTTCTTGGCCTCTCTATTAGTTTCTTTGGGCTGCTGTAACAAATGACTGCAGTTCAAGCAACCGAAATTTCTTTTCTCACAGTTCTGGAGGCTAGAAGTGTGAAATCAATGCATCATCAGGGCAGTGCCCCCTCTATACCTTTCAGGAAGAATCTTCTCAGCTTCTGGAGGTGGCGCTCAGCAATCCTTGCTGCTCCTTGACTTCCAGATGCATCACTGCAGTCCCTGTCTCTGTTGTCACCTGGCCTTCTTCCCTGTGTGTCACTGTGTGCCCTCTTGTCTCCTTATAAAGACATTAGTCATTGGACTTAGGGCCCACTCTAATCCACTGTGACTCCATCTTAACCCATTATTACATCTGCAAAGACCCCGTTTCCAACCAAAGTCAACTTCTGAGGTTCTAGGTGGATCTGGACTTGGCCGGGAAGCCATTCAACCCACTGCAGCACCTCTCTGGGCTTTCTTCAGGTTTCTCATCTATAAAATGATCTTTAGAGCTCTTTTTAGTCACTGCATTCAATAGTGCCATGAAGATTATTCAGAAAAGATAGAAACCTGAAAGCAAAGCTTTATTTACAAGAAAAAAGCTGGTGGCTCTGCTTGTTTCTGCTCTAGGTCCAGTGGCCATTGGGACAGCTGCTCCATGCATCCTAGCTCCCCTTTACTTACTGCAGTCTTTACTTTGGATACAAGTTTAAGACTGTTGGCTGTGATCAGAAGGAAACTTAAAAGTTTGAGGACTTAGTAACAGAGTTGTGTTTGATGATATGGCTCAGGTGAAGTAGAAATGGAGAGCTCTGGAGCCGAGAGCAGGGATTTGGGGCCCAGCTTTCGGAATGGCTTCCATGTGAAGGAGTTACAGAGGATGGGATGGAAAGGAGGGTTGTGAATCAAGAAATGAGTCATAGCCATTCAAACATTTACTTGTTCATTTCACCAACACAAAGGTATGTATTGCATTGTTAGCACCATTCAAGGGATGGATGACATGGTGGTGAAAGAGACTGACTCAGTCTTTGTCCTCCTGAAGTGTACTCAGGAGTCTATAAAGGTGGCCCCAGAGAAATTCATGGAAATAAGGACAGTGGAGGCTTCTAAGTTAATAGTGTGGACCTGAGAAGAGCAGAGTTGCTGGCTTGTGCCTTCCTAAGGTGGAAAGGACAAGTAGGTGTTTAAATCTGTAGAAGGTAAGTGGATAGTCCACTCAGCTGTATGCCAGAACACATTCCCAGTAAGGTTGATTTAATGGTTGATGGGAAAGAGAGGCCTTAGAAAATCATTGCTGCTTTAAATCATGTGTAAGTTTGTTGATGTGGGAAATAGCAGACATGCCATTTGATAGACGTTATTGGCTGTTTATGTATCTTATAACCTTCCACATGCTCGCAAGTTGAAAAGTTTATCAATAAAAAATGCCTCCAAAGTAGCAAATAAGTAAAAACTCTTTTCAAGCAATTTTATAATGTGCTCTTATGGAACTGCAGGTGCTCATGATCTTAATGTATGCTCTTAGGGGGTTAATTGTGACCCTGCAACATTTATGTGTTGAAGTCTTAACAGCCAGTACCTCAGAGTGCAACTTATTTGGAAATCGGGTCAATGCAGATGTAGTTAGTTAAGATGAGGTCATTAGGGTGGACCTTAATCCAATATAACTAATGTCCTTATACAAAGGGGAAATTTAGATGCAGAGATATGCAGGGTCTTGGGGGAGATGATGTGAACAGACAGAGGGAGAAAACAGCCATCTGCAAGCTGAGAAGCGAAGCCTGGAAGAGATCTCTTCCTCAGAAGGCGCTAGTTAGCTGATACCTTGAGTTGGACGTCTAGTTTCCAGAGCTGTAAGACAGCAAATTTCTAATGTTTAAGCCATTTCTCTTGTCACTACTTTGTTACAGCTGCCTTAACAAACAAGTACACGTGTTTTCTGGGTGTTTCTTCCTGCCAACTCCTAAACTTGCATGAGGGATGAGGAAACCCACCAGTTCCTCAAACTAAAGGTCAGGTAAAGTTTGCCATGAACTAAAACTTCGGACCATTTCCCTGGTGTCACTTTCAGCATTTTTCTTTTCCAAGCCTTGTTCTTGACTTAAGCAACAGATGACATGGCAGTTCTCTCTTGCTTGCTTTTACAACCAGCCTAGTTTCTACAGCTACATTTAAGACATAGCCAATATTTAAGGTATTTGCTGAACATTCAGTTCCCAGAAGCTGAGCTTTGGATGATTCCTGTGTCCTTGAGGACAATGAGTTGGGGAGACCTGGTTCCATCTGGGCCTCTGGTGCTCGGTGGCTGTGAGCTGACCAGAAGCAGCTGGCAGAGGCAATCCCTGCAGCTGTGAGAGGCCTCTGGAAAATAGATGCAGCATGTTCCTCCCAAAACCACTGTCCGCCCTCCTCTACAGAACTGAAGGGGCAGAGAAAATCCATTTTTTAATTTGTTATCTCAACATATATGTATTTCTTCCTTTTCAGCCAGTACAGGCTACTCTGTCATCTTTGAAGATGTTAGATGTGGGAAAGTGGCCAATTTTTTCCCTTTGTTCTGAGGAAGAACTGCAGTTAATTCGTCAGGCTTGTGTCTTTGGCAGTGCTGGCAATGAAGTTTTATACACTACAGTAAATGATGAGGTAATTTTGAAGAAAATAATTAAGCTACTCACATTTTTAGAAATGGATTTGCCAAAGTGAAGATCTTGGGGGAACTAAGGAATAAGAGGTTAAAAAAAAAAGCATAGAAATTAGATTTTTATTTATTATATAAAGAAGCAGTTTGCTTAAGGAAGGTGATTCCTGTTTGGATGTAATTTATAGGTTTGTTAGAAATAGAACTGCTTGAACTAACAGTGGTTTTTCCCATAGATTTTTGTGCTTGGCACAAACTGCTGTGGCTGTTTGGGGTTAGGTGACGTCCAGAGCACCATTGAACCTCGGAGACTGGATTCTTTAAGTGGCAAAAAAATAGCCTGCCTCAGCTATGGGAGTGGTCCACATATTGTCCTTGCAACAACAGGTAACCTAGGAACCCCATGCAGAATTTCAGCTTTATTTGATGAGAAACGAGTCAGCTGCCCTTGAGAATGTTTTTAAAATTGGGTGAGAGTTGCTAGCTCTTCCTGTGAAATTGCCTATACTTTGGATACCATGAAACATGAATGTATCTGAATGCCAACGTAAGACAATGTGGCAGATGGAATCTAGTAATCACTGGCATTTTAGGTGTATGAATGACAATGCTGTGAGCCCAGTAAACACTGCCGGACTCACTGTGGACTTTGGCAAGTCTGTCTGAACTTTGGGTTCCTGATCTATGAATTGAAAGACCAAACCTTGTCTCCAACATCCCCCTGCCAACTCTTAGCGTTCTGTGATTCTCATACTAAAGAGTGACTGATGGCTGTAGTTGGCATTAGTAGTAGGGATCAGCCACTTCCTAAGGCACTGACCAGAAAAATTCCTTGCTCTGACCAAAGCAGGGAGGAAAAAAGAAAGAAAATAAATAAAACTTCTCCCCAAAAGGTGGTAACCATGGATTTGTAGTTTAATTCACATTAAGACTGGACAGTCCAAGAAATCTCAAGCCTTGAATATAATCGAGGTACTCGATGGCAATAGCCTTAAGGGCATGATAGAAGTTAATGCAAATCCTTCGTAGGGGAAGGCATCTTTATTTTAGGCTGGAGAGAATTACCCAAAATAACTGTTCAATGGCAATAGGCAGCACATAGTCAGAGATCACCGGATATGCAGTAGTGTCCCCTTATCCGTGGTTCTACTTCCCCAGGTGTCAGTTACCTGCAGTTGACTGTGGTCTGAAACTATAAATGTAAAATTTCAAAAATAAACAATTCATAAGTTTTAAATTGTGTGCCATTCCTAGTAGGGTGATATTTCACCGTCTTACTCCATCCCACCTGGGACATGAATCATCCCTTTGTCCAGCGTCTCCACCATAGACACTCCCACCCATTAGTTTCTTAGTAGCTGTCTCAGTTATTAGATTGACTATCTTGGTATCATAGTGCTTGTGCTCAAGTCACCCTTATTTTACTTAGTAATAGCCCCAAAGTGCAAGAGTAGTGATGCTTGCAATTTAGATATGCCAAAGAGAAACCATACTTTCTCACTTTAAATGAAAAATGGAGAGTTTTCATGCTGAGGTTGTTAAGATTTACGGTAAGAACAAATCTTCTATCTGTGACATTGTGAACAGTACATTTTATAACTTTTCTATTTTATTAGTTATTGTTATTAATGTCTTACTATGCCTAACTTACAAATTAAACTTTATCGTAAGTATATATTTATAGGGAAAAACATAGTATATACAAGTTTAGTACTGTCCATAGTTTCAGCATCCACTGAGGGTCTTGGAATGTATCTCCTGCAGATAAAGGGGCTTGCTATGCAAAGAAACAAGGTACCATGAATGGAACCAGCAGAAACAACAGACAGCAAGAACTGATTACTAAATATCAGGCATTAGAATTATCAGACACCCGTTATAAGACAGCAGTATATATTGTTTGAAGAAATTAAAAAGTGCTTGATGATAATCTGCAGGGATTATAGAAGATTTGAAAAAGATAGAAATGAACAATATGATTATTAAAATGAAAATTCAGTGGACAAATTTTGTAGTAGTTTGAACACAGCAAATTAGTAAAATTAGTAAACTGGAAGATAGATCAGAAGACATTATCCAGAATACAATACAAAGAGGCAACATGCTGGAAAACACAGATGAAAGGAGTACATACTGTATGATTCCATTTATTAAAATTTTAAAAACAGGAAAAACTAAAAATTTGTTTGCAAGATGCATATATGAGGGTCTTTTGGGGGGTGATTATAAGGTTATATTTCTTGACATAAGCAGTAGTACATGGGTGTGTGCTTTATAATTTATAAAACTGTGTATGTATGTTTTATGAACTTTTCTGTACATTATGCTATTCAATAAATAACAAAGATTTTTAAAAATAACTTAGTAATTACTTTAAAGATAAGGAAATTAAGACCCAGGGGAATTAAGTGGCCTTTCAATCTTTTACTTTCAGTATAATGGTTTTGCTATTACTCTTAGCAGCATTTTCTCTGCTGTTTATTAAAAACTTATTTTCTAGTTATTATAACTGCATGCATTTAAATTTCACCTTGTTGCTTTGAGGTAGAATGCAGTTTATACTTTCCAAATAGATTCTTTTGTAGAATGACTTTGGTAGAATGGGGAAGTTGATTAGCTTTTTGTACCTGAATTTTTAGATTTCATTTGTGGAAGCTGTGCTATATGTATTTTCCTATAATGAAGTAGATGTTGTAAAAGCTGGTTGTATTTCTTTTTATTTTCAGAAGGAGAAGTCTTTACCTGGGGTCACAATGCTTATAGCCAGCTGGGCAATGGGACGACTAATCATGGTTTAGTGCCCTGTCATATCTCTACTAACTTGTCAAACAAACAAGTCATTGAAGTGGCCTGTGGGTCTTACCATTCTTTGGTGCTAACATCTGATGGAGAGGTGAGAATAGTCAGCAGAAAGCTCATTGCTTTCTTTTTCAATAAGATTATATAGACTTCTGTAGTAGTCCTGGAAATACATTCATTTGATTAAAATAACCACCTCCCTCAAATTCAGCAATATTTTTGGTAGCAATTCACAGTTGATATTGTGACATTTACCTGTGTCTAGTAAGGACTTCCATATTGCAAAATTAAAAGGAAGTATTGTTCCTTCTCTGTTGCCATAGTAAAGAGGTTATGTGCAATAAGAAAAGTCCCCAGATACTGGAAAAGATGGCGGGGGAAAGTAGATATTTTTGTGTTACGTGTTATTTGATAGTAATTATTACTGTTTGTGTTGATAACATCAATAACCTAATTTTATAAAATTATGTACATTGCATACAAATGAATTTTATAAACACTTCTCTGCCTGTGTTGTAAGGATTTATGGATATGAAGCACTTTGAAAGGAAAGACTTGGTGCCACAAGTACATGCCAGTGTCCAACTGAGACACTTTATAAATTAATGTGTTTCATTTATTGATCTTTCCTTTCAAACAGGTATTTGCCTGGGGTTATAATAACTCTGGGCAGGTAGGATCTGGATCAACAATTAATCAGCCAATCCCTCGGAGAGTCACTGGCTGCTTACAGAATAAAGTAGTTGTGACCATAGCATGTGGGCAGATGTGCTGCATGGCAGTAGTGGACAGTGGGGAGGTAAGGTAGTTATTTTACATCTTGTTTAAAAATCCTGTTTGCCACATCAGTTTCATGCTAGTGTAGTGTGTCCCACATGACAGACAACTTGTGGCCACTTGTCTCTTGAGAGGATTGAGGCTCTCATTTTCTCTCAGGTCTACGTCTGGGGTTACAATGGAAACGGGCAGCTCGGACTTGGCAACAGTGGTAACCAGCCAACCCCTTGCAGAGTGGCAGCTTTGCAAGGCATCCGTGTCCAGCGGGTACGTCCACTGTCAGTTTGTGTGCGTGTATTTTTAAGTCTTTGTTGGCAAAGATACCATTGTATTAAAAACAGATTTCTTGGCAGGATGAGAAGTTCAGCTGCTTGGCTGTCTTCATTAAAGGAAAGGTTAAATCTCTTTTTCCTTGAGTTAAATTGCAGCTGTTCAGACAATTTCTGTTCCAGGGCACTGTCATACACTTTTTGGAATATAAATTGTTACAACCTTTCCTGAGGAAGCTTTGGCAGGGTGTACAAGAGCCTTAAAAGCCTTCGTACCCTTTGACCTGCAGTTCTACTCCTAGGGAATTTCCCTGAGGAACCAACAGTTCCTGTAAGTCTCCTACAGAATTAGTTAAGAAGATATATATATATATATCTTTAATAAAAAACAATAGGTATAACGTAATTTACTAATCAAATAATGAGTTATGATTAGATAAATTATGCCAAGTGTGTAGGCTGGAGATGATTTATACAAGGAATTTTTAATGATATGGGAAAGTGCTATGTGTAATGGTAAATAAAATACAGAGCTGCTTATACAACATGGTCAGTAAAAATGATGCTATAGGTGCATATCTGTCTATACAGAAATAGAAGAAAAAGCCTCAGATCTTCAGAGTACTTCTATATTTTTCACATTGAACATGTTTTACTTTTATAATCTAAAAGAAAATAATTATTAAAAAATACAAGTGGGCAGATCATGAGGTCAAGAGATCAAGACCATTCTGGTCAACATGGTGAAATCCTGTCTCTACTACGAATACAAAAATTAGCCAGGCATGGTGGTGTGTGCCTGTAGTCCCAGCTACTTGGGAAGCTGAGGCAGGAGACTTGCTTGAACCCGGGAGGCGGAGGTTGCAGCGAGCCAGGATTGTGCCACAGCATTCCAGCCTGGTAACAGAGCGAGACTCCATCTCAAAACAAAAACAAAAACAAAAACAAAAACAAAAACAAAAACACCAAACCAAAACAACAACAAAGAAACAAGTGTCTGTTTCTTACATTCCCCGCATACCCCTTGATTTCTGTGAGCATTGAAGCTACAGTGAACTGGGGCAGAGCACGCCAGGGGACTCACGGCAATGTTACTGCAGTTCTGGCCCACATGTTCTGGAAGGATATTGGTTAACTTAATGCTTGCCTCTATAGGTAGGCTGCCTCTTCCTTTTTTTCATGTTTGATTCTTAACCTACTTTGTGGAAGCAGTGAAATATTTTCTTCTAAATTTTTACTTCTATTTGCAGGCCTGAGAGGATTTTTTTTTTTTCTTTCCAGGTCGCCTGTGGCTATGCACACACATTAGTATTAACAGATGAAGGCCAAGTGTATGCTTGGGGTGCCAATTCTTACGGGCAGTTGGGCACTGGCAATAAAAGCAACCAGTCCTATCCTACTCCTGTCACTGTGGAAAAGGACAGGTAACACGAGCATTTTCACAGTCCCTGCACTGGTCTTTGGCGATTGTGATTAAACAGGACTTCGACATAGAGAGAATGGTGGGGAATGTACTGCTAGTGTTAGCATATTCTTTAACGAGAACGTTTATTCTTTCTTAAAAATTGGCTTTGGAATTGTTGGGGAGGTTGATTGTATGTTAAATATGCTATTTGCACTTACCCATATTTCATCCATACCTCCAACAGCGACGCTAAGCAGACTGCAATGACTAAACTTGCTACAGCTATTCTGTTGTTGCTCTTCTCCCTTACAGGTCACCCTTCTGCCCTCCTCCTTTTCTTGTTTTACACTGTTAAGGGGATGTCAATAACATTCGAGGTCACTCTTCCCTGGCTTAGGAAAGGTACCTTGTGTGGGGTATAAAGCTGGTCACTTAGCTACATAAAATACTTGCCGGTTGAAAAGGATAGGATTATTTCATTAATTTTACTCCCAAGCTGCCACTATGAGGAAGAGTAAAATGGTTGGGAAATTAAGACTTAGTTTTGTGCACCTGTTTGCAAGGGTGTGTTATATAATTAGCACATGCAGAATTCGTTTACAAGTTATTCTAATATTTTTGAAAGCCTCTGGAATTTCTGAAGCATGGTCCAGATCACTGCCTTTTCACTCAGTAGTATAGAGCAAAAACGTTTCATTATCTTTTAAACCAGGGTTGCAGTCATTGTAGAAATGAATGCTGCTCTTTTTACTGCATATATCTTTATTATATTTGATTTTAAAAGAAATATATAGACAAACAGATTCACTTGTACTTATATGCAGCTCTTTTCTGATTTTTTGTTGGAATACTTAATAATGCAAATGAAGAACCAAATTGTCATTTTTCAACTGCCTCAGTTTTCATTTGAGTATTGTGACCTTGGCTAACTTTCTTTAACCTATGTTTTAAAAGTTTTATTTAACTGATTTAACATAGGCTAATTTTATAGGTTAAATAGAACTTTTTTCTCCAAAAACCTTAAAATAAGACCCCTGGTCCCTTCAGAATTGGGAGGAGGGGCAATAATGGAGGCAGGACATGGTGCAGGCAGATGCCTGCAGCTGTTTCTCCGCACATCTTGTAAGGTGGCTTAGAGCTTCTCAGAAGAGAACAGACGGTCCTGAGGCTTTGAATAACCACAGAATGCCTCAGTTGGTAGGGATACTTAATATTTAAACTGAAAAACAGAGTTAAAGGATCAAATAAAGATAGCATGGACATAAGAACGATTGATTTGTATGGGCTCGTTATTTTTTGTATTTTTATTTTTTGAGACATGGTCTCCCTGTTGTCCAGGCTGAAGTGGTTCCATCATGGCTCACTATAGTATTGACTTCCCAAGCTCAGGCAATCCTCCCACCTCAGCGTCCTGAATAGCTGGGACTACAGGAGCGTGCCACCATGCCTAGCTAATTTTTTGTGTTTTTTATAGGGCCAAGCTTTTGCCATGTTGCCCAGGCTGGTAACTCCTGGGCTCAAGTGATCCTCTTGCCTCAGCCTCCCAAAGTGTTGGGATTACAGGTGCGAGCCACTGTGCCTGGCCTAGCCCATTACTTTCATGGTGCTCCCACACTTACTCAGAACTTTAGCACATCTGTCCCTAGTCTCATGGGATCTGCCATCATTCCCCATCAGTGACTTGCTGCCTTGCACTGCGGGTCCCTGATCCAGAATGATCGCCCAGGGCTTCTGACTCAGGTTCTCACTGGCAGATGGATTGTGGGGCATCAGGTGGGAGAAAGAAAAAGCAGCAGAGAAGCAGATAATGGGAATGGAAGCTGTGTGAGTGCCAAGTTGCTTAACTGGGCACTGAGTGTTATCTATTGCTTTTGTCTTAAACTATAGTTATTTTTGAATTATAATTTGGCTATAAAAATTGTGGATGGTCTGCATGCTCACGCCTTTAATCCTAGCACTTTGGGAGGCTGAGGCAAGCAGATCACTTGAGGTCAGAAGTTTTAGACCTACCTGGCCAACATGGTGAAACCTCATCTCTACTAAAAATAAAAAAATTAGTTGGGTGTGGTGGCACACACCTGTAATCCCAGCTACTTGGGAGGCTGAGACGGGAGAAGCTCTTGACCCTGGGAAGCAGAGGTTGCAGTGAGATCGTGACAGTGCACTCCAGCCTGGGCAATAGAGTAAGGCTCTGTCTCAAAAAAAAAAAAAAAAAAAAAAGGATAAATGTTTTAAATGAGATGTTCCTGATTTTCTCGGTTTTCCATGCTTGAATTTCAAGTGGTGATTTCTGAACGTACTCATTTTCAGCCGGGCACTCCATCACAGGCGTATCAGGAGGGAGGGGCTGACAGGTCCGTGCCAGGACTTGTTCTGCACTTCTCCACCCTTTCCACTGACAGGAAACTCAAGTTATGTGTCATAACTTATCCCTCAGGAACCCCTGAGCCTTACTTCTGACTCTTCTGAGGCCCATTACAGGAAAGCCTGACTAATTAGGAACTGGATTGAATGTGGGTGGGGTGGGTTTCAGTTCTTAGTTACCTGTTCACAGAGGTGGGAAGCAAAAATCTGTCTACATTGTTTTCTTTGTTGGAACAACCATCCATCCAAGGGGAAACCTTCTAAATCTTCCCCAGAAAAAGATTTTATTTATGATGGAGAATACTGATATTTGTCGCAATTTATGTTTGCATAAAAGTAAATTTAATGATTAAAATGGTTGTCTTCTCCCTAACCCAGTCATCTCCAATTTTTCTGAAGTTTCAGTTCCTTGGGGCAGAATGCCCAACATTTGCATCTTTGTTCTTAGCGTTCCCTAGCAGCATATTTTAAATTGAACTGATGTAAAACTAACTTTGCCTTTAATTTCTGACAGTTCTTCAACTTTTGATGTAGTCAGTACAATACCTGGGCTCTGACAAAACCAAGATTGGGAATCCCTGCTGTGGATCTGTCATCCTTGTTTCTCTTCAAATATTCTTCTCCCTCACAGACGACCTTTCTCCCCTCCTCGAGGTTTTCTGGTTTCTATTTTTTCTCACTCTCTTTTTCTTTTCTTTTCTTTTCTTTTCTTTTTAAATTTTTGAGGTGGAGTTTTATTCTTGTCACCCTGGCTGGATTGCAATGGCGCAATCTTGGCTCACCGCAACCTCCGCCTCCTGGGTTCAAGTGATTCTCCAGCCTCAACCTCCCAAGTAGCTGGGATTACAGGCATGTGCCACCATGCCCAGCTAATTTTTTTTTTTTTTTTTTTTTTTTTTCCAGTAGAGATGGGGTTTCTCCGTCTTGGCCAGGCTGGTCTTGAACTCTTGATCTTGTGATGCACCCACCTTGGTATCCCAAAGTGCTGGGATTACAAGTGTGAGCCACCACACCCAGCCTCTCTGCTTTCTCATTTCTAGTACTTTATAACCAGTAAGCTGAGTGGTTGTTGTGGATTATTCCCTTGAGGTGACACAAACCCTGTTTATTACCAACCTGTAGTGATTTTTTTCCCCATTAAGATTGGCTACAAAATAAAGTATGAAATATGCCAGACATCCTAACAGTTAAAGGTTAGCTCAGTTGATAGTCATTGTCTGTTACATGCCTGACTGGAAAATTGGAAGGTCAACGTTTGCTGCTTAGTATAAGTCCAGTTTAAAAACTGATGACCTTAGGTAATGGCAGGGTTCCTTAGTGGTTGCTTGGGTTGCAAGCCTAGACCTGAAGGTTTCCTCTAAACTTTCTCCACTCTCATTCCTGTAGCAACTACTGTAGCCAGCCAAGCCTGTGCCCCACCCCTGACTTCCCATGTGGAGCTGGGTGTGCCAGGTAAATGTCACAAGGCCATGCCTGGGGATGGCCAGCATCACACAGCCTTCCCTGACCCACCCTTTGGCTCTGTCCCAGCCCTTCTCTAGAAAGAAGTCTCCCGCTTCAGGTCACCAGCTGCTCTAGGGACAGAGGCTACCCCGTTTCATGGATGCTAATAACAAATAACAACTATCTCAGAAGGGAACATAGGAACTGCATGTTTTGGCTTTTCTGACGTTGGGGAGATCAGTGAAGGATGTTGTGGTGCTTCGGTCACTGACATTTTTCACAGAACATTACCCCAAAGTACACGGAAACGATTCAAAAAATGTAGAAGTCTTTGCCTAGTAGGTCACTGCAGAAGTGCTGATATCTGAAGAAAGGAAGAGCAGTTCATGAATGCTTATTTCAACGTTGTTCGTTGGGCTGCCCTCACCTCCCCTGCTCCCTGAGAGTACCAGATGGCTTTACAATGGAGGTGGTTAAAACACAGAAGGCCTTTTTTCCTTTTATTAGTGGCTCAGCTGTCCGTACATTGGCCCCCACACCCGCCACGTGACCAGCGCAGCCTCAGCCTCCCACAGCACTGCCAGCCGGGGGTTTTTCTTAGACTCGTCCTCGGGGCCACCTTCCACTCCTCTCCCTCCTCTGCGTCGACACCTGGGCCACCCTCATTACTCCTTGGCAGCCTAGCTTGCATTGGCCTCCCTGGCCAGCCTTCCAAACTGTTCTTTCTCTCCCTTGCAGCCTGTCTTGCACACTGTGGCCAGGTCTTTCTTTCTGAGAATACCATTTCCTCACCTCATGGCCCTGTTTACAAAGCTGTTTCCCATTTGCCTATCACGTCAGATCATATCAGAACTCTTTGGCTCTGGATTAAAGCTGATACCACTGTTCCTGCCAAACCTTGTTGCCCTCTGATCCCAGCGTTGGCCTCCGTCACTGTCAGGCCTCGTATGATGCCACTCTGCCGTCCTGCCGTTTCCAGCTCTGCCTGCACGTTTGCTCCTGCATTTCTTTCTGCCTCATAGGCTCTTATTCAGGGCTCTGGACAATCCAAAACATTCATGGCCCAGTTACTCCCTTTTACTTGGAAATATTCCCCTGAGAAGCCCCCAGGTGTTTTTCCTTACTCACCACAGTACTTGTAGTCGGGGCATACTGATGTTATTTGGGAATTATTTGCAAAGTCACAGATCTGGACTTCTCTCTCCAGCTAAATCATGAGTTCCTCAGGGCGGGCCCACAGTTCCTGAAGGAGCTGGTAAACATTTTTAGTCACGGCAGGAAGCCTTTTTCACTTCTCAGCTCTGCCAGGAACTTGTTTCATGTATGCGAAACCACAAACTGTGAGAGGATTGCTGCCTGTATCCTGTTCCCCTTCACCTATTTTTTTTTAAAGATGGTAAAGCTGTTTATAAGAGTTAAAGTAACATGGCCCTAGAACTACCCTCTGAGTCTGAGCCCTGTGTCCTGCTCATAGCACCAGGCCATGAAGACAAACCATGTCACTACCCTCATGTTTGCTTGTAACTTAGGAGGCTTACCAGTAAAATCAGTGGTAACAGTAGATGTACTTCTCTTTGGATAAATTTATTCCGTTTCTTTCTCCCATTTTCTTTATTCGTTGGAAAGAATGTGCTGATTGAGAAGCCAAATATTACTAGCCATTTTCCCCATCTAGCATGGTTCTTTTGCACAGCACTGGATCAGGCCAGTGCACTGGCCTAACCCTGCAAATAGCAGGAAAGGACTCTCGTAGGGAAGGTCTTACTAACCTGAGTTGATCACTGAAAAAGCCGCTTTGCCACTTAAAATGCTGAGTAGTCATCCTCATGTAGAGAAACCTCTATTGTCATGCAGCCATGTGCACACAGACATGGTAGCTGGTTGGCATTTAACGTTTTATCATTTGATTCTCACACCAGCCCTGCAACTTGATGAAACCAAGGCTCCTAGGGGCTAAGTGACATTCCCCTAGTCACGCAGCCTAGTGGTAGAGTGGGGATTCAAACCTAGATTTTGTTTTCCTTTGAGCTGAAATTACAAGATAAATAAACCAACCAACCGACCTAGGTTTGCTTGACTCCAAATCCTGAGCTGTCTACTGTGGGCCATTGTAGCCTCTTTTCCTCTAGTATTTGTGGGTGGTTTTCAAGAGCTAAGACCAATCCTCTGATAAGTCAGTGAAATTGCTGCACATGACAACAGCATGCATGTCTCACTCTCTGAGGCGAGCTGGCACCAGCTCTGGGTTCTGTGATGATGCCTCCTTCCTGGATTGGGAGCAGCTGCCTAAAGGAGGCAGTGAAGGATCATCCTCACCCTTCAGGTGCTAGTCCATGTCAGTGGGGTCTTACACACCTCTCCTTTGCTCTGTGTTGTTGAGTCTTCCTCAGTTAGTAAAGTCACCCACAAATTATATTCAGTAAGACAGACACCATGTTACGTGCTTAGAGAGAATTAAGCTAGTGATTTGGCCTGCCAGGAACTGGCCATCTTGCTGAACAGATGAAACAGATGCATGGAACAGTAACAGGGCCATGCTGGAGTGGTGTGGACAGGAAGGGCTGCGGGATCTCAGGTGAGGGGGAGACCTCAACCTCGGGGCAGTTTGAACTGCGCCTTACCAGATGGGTAGGGTTTGTAAGGCAGAGAGAAAGAACATTCCTGAACAATCGTGTATGAAGACATTGAAGGGCAATGAGAAAGCCTTTTTGCTGGAACATAGGGTGTGTAGACAAAAGTGACTTGAGAGATGGCTGTCCAGAGGTGATGCCAAATCATGGATGGAGTTATGTCTTGTGTCAGAATTTTGTCTGAGGGAAACCACTGCCCGAGTGAGAGGTCTGATGAGAACGGTGTTCTGGGAGGATGGTTAACTTGCCAGCACTCTGGGAGTTGGAGCAGAGTTTAGAGTCTAAGGCAAGGGAGACCTGGGAGGCTGTGACCGGGGCCAGAGGCAGGGTGTGCCTGACCCCCCAGTGGTGGCTGAGGGCAGACAGTACAAAGAAAGCATCTTTGTTTTTTAGCTGGATATTCTGAAGGATGTGGTAAATGAGGAGGGAGAAGTCAAAGATGGCCCTGAGGTTCTGGGCCTAAGTCTCTGAGGCTGCTGATACCATTGTCTGCTGTAGCAAAACAAAGATGGGGACTTCCCCTGGGTTAAAAGCATTTATCATTTTTCTGTAAGTGTATGGTAGCTTATTCTGATAGAAAAGAAATTACTTCCAGATTAACAAGACAATGTTTTCCTGTAAGAAGTGTTCTGAGGCCGGGCGCGGTGGCTCAAGCCTGTAATCCCAGCACTTTGGGAGGCCGAGGCGGGTGGATCACGAGGTCGAGAGATCGAGACCATCCTGGTCAACATGGTGAAACCCCGTCTCTACTAAAAATACAAAAAACTAGCTGGGCGTGGTGGTGCATGCCTGTAATCCCAGCTACTCAGGAGGCTGAGGCAGGAGAATTGCCTGAACCCAGGAGGCGGAGGTTGCCGTGAGCCGAGATCGCGCCATTGCACTCCAGCCTGGGTAACAAGAGCGAAACTCCGTCTCAAAAAAAAAAAAAAAGAAGTGTTCTGAGGCGGGGCCTAGTGGCTCACACCTGTAATCCCAGCACTTTGGGAGGCCAAGGTGGGCGGATCACTTGAGCTCAGGAGTTCAAGACCAACCTGGGCAACATGGCAAAAGCTTCTCTACAAAAAATACAAAAATTAACCAGGTGTGATGTCTTGCACCTGTAGTCCCAGCTACTATGGAGGCTGAGGTAGGAGGATTGCTTGAGCCCTGGAGGCAGAGGTTGCAGTGAGCCAAGACAAGGCCACTGCACTCTAGCCTAGATGACAGGGTGAGATTCCTGTCTCAAAGACAAAAAAAATGTTCTGAGAACTACCTCCCCATCAGTCAGGAACTTAAAGCAGTAGAGTCTTTCACATGGTGATCCTAGAAAACTGCTCTCCTGAGTTCCAGATCACACAGTCCAGTGTGGGAGAACTACTGAATTTACTCTGTGTAGTAAGAGCTGTTATGACCCATATCATGCTAAAAATCCATTGACGGTGAAATCTTCATTGAAATATTTATTTATTGACCCTTGGTCCAGATGGCCAAAATCTTTATTATTTTCTTCAGCAAGTAATATTGTGGGGTAAAAAAAATTAAACCACAATTTTTTGGTGGGGGGAACACTACTCTTTTGGGTTATGGATGGCTCATATTTTTATAGGCCTACTGGCTGGAAGCGCTACAAACAGATCTTCATGAGTTACAAGCACCATTGAAGTGTGGCTTAAACACAAATAACGGTTTCGTGCCTGAAAATTTCGGAGATGAGGTGTATGAGTCATGTGGTGTTTTTTTTTTTCGTTTCCTGACCCTTTTTGTAAATTTAATTTTAGGATAGACCACATCTGTTAAACCTAGGGGGAGGAAGACACAGCTTGTTTCTGCCCCTGGTCACTGTGCTTATGTGGTGTGTGTTTGTGAATTTAGGATTATCGAGATTGCAGCCTGTCACTCGACCCACACGTCTGCGGCCAAGACGCAGGGTGGGCACGTGTACATGTGGGGCCAGTGCCGGGGCCAGTCCGTGATCCTCCCGCACCTCACCCACTTCTCCTGCACCGACGACGTGTTTGCCTGCTTTGCCACTCCCGCCGTCACGTGGCGCCTCCTCTCCGTGGGTGAGCTGGTCACTGTACATTTGGGGGATGGCCCAAAAATCTGAAAAAGAACTCAGGGCTTTTACTTTGATAGTGAGGATTTTGTTAGGTGCACTATCATAATTTATTTCTCTCTGATGGTCTTCTGCAAAATAGAACAAATTTTATTTTCTTAAAAACATCAGAAACCAACATCAATACTAAATTTCTGTGGAGGTGGGTCTCGCTGTGCTGCCCAGGCTCGTCTCGAACTATGGGCCTCAAGCCATCTTTCTGTCTCCACCCCGTAAAGTGTTGGAATCACAGGTGTGAGCCACTGTGCCCTGCCCTTATTTTACTCCTTTTAAATTTTACCAAGAAACTGTGTCTTTTACTTTAGCTAGCATATTTACTCAAACGTTCTAAAATTTCATTCAAAATTAGTGATGTGGCTTGGGACTTTTTTTTTGTTATTTTGCCAGATTTATAAGCAGATATGTGTGGGATTCTTATCCTTAATGATTACAGAGATGCAAATCTGTCTTTAGGGGAAAAACCCCATTGCTCAATTGCTCAGTTATTTTGAGGAAGTGGTATTTTCATGAGCATCAGTAGAGCAGTGCCATATCCTAGCCTGCGGGTTCATTATGTCTGTGCTAACTCTGGAAGCATTTGCATTATTCTCTTAGAACCTGATGACCACCTTACAGTGGCTGAGTCACTGAAGAGGGAATTTGACAACCCTGACACTGCAGACCTGAAGTTTCTGGTGGATGGAAAGTACATTTATGCACATAAAGTCCTTCTCAAGATTCGGTAAGGAAGCATTTATTTTGAGAGTTGAGAAAAATCATTCATTCAACAACTATATTTTGCATGTTAGTAATAATGAAAAAATGTAAGGCTGTTTTTGCCCTTACAAGCATAGAGTGGAGCTGGAGGAAACATATGTGAAACAAGAAATAACAGGTTGTGTGTGGTTTGGGGAATCCGTACCATCAGCGTTCCTTAGGCTTGAAAAGTGGATTGGTCACCTTGGCAGCAGGGAGCAGCCAGCACACACTGCAAGTGTGTCCTGTGCTCTGAACACCGTATAGATACTTGGACGTCCATCAGTTACCCTCTCTGTCTGGGAATCAAGATCAACTCATAATAATCTCTTTAATCACTTGTGGGATACTGAACTTTTAGATGCTTTATAAAAGAGAAAATCAAGGTCTTTCCAGACCAAAAGGGGCTGTGGTGAGGCTAACACAGAGATTTTAAAAATCACATTTGTGAACGTTTCTGAGCAATGAGCTGTATGCGTTTCAAGTGTACAGTTTGATGAGTGCTGACACATGCACTCGCCTGTGAAACCATTGACCCACATCCAGATAGAGAACATTCCCATCACCCTACAAAGACCCCTCATGTCCTAGCCCTGGGCGACCATGGCACCTTCTGTCACTGTAGATTAGTTAGCATTTTCTAGAGCATACATAGATTGGATGATATGGGATGCATTCATTTGTGCCTGGCATCTTTCTCTTACATGATGATTTTGAAATTCATGATGTTGTTATGTAACAGATATTTAAATCCTACTGCAGTGAGTCACAAACTCAACACAGCATTTTAGTCTCAACTTCCCCTTTAGTAAGGTCAGGCTGTCAACGTCTGTTCACTCTCACTACATCATATCAACCTGCATGAAGGAAGGCAGGTGGAGTAATTTGCTGTAACAAAGTACTACAGGCTGGGTGGCTTAAGCAACATAAAGTTCTGGAGGCTGGAAGTCCCAGATCAAAAGTGTCAGTGGGATGGGTTTCTTGTGAGGCTGTGAGCGAGAATCTGTACCTGGCTCTTTCCTAGCTGCCGGGGGTTTGCTTACAGTCTTTGGCCTTCCTTGCCATGTGGCTGCTTAACTCCAGTCAGCATGTGGCATTCTCCCTTTGTGCATGTCTGTGTCCAAATTTACACCACCCCTCGCTTTTTTTTTGAGATGATATAGTCTTACTCTATTGCCCAGGCTGGAGTGCAGTGGCCGCCATCTTGGCTTATTACAACCTCCGCCTCCTAGGTTCAAGCGATTCTCTTGCCTCAGCCTCCTAAGTAGCTGGGATTACAGGCACCCACCACCTTGCCCAGCTAATTTTTGTATTTTTAGTGGAGATGGGGTTTCATCATGTTGGCCAGGCTTGTCTTAAACTCCTGACCTCATGATCTACCCGCCAGCCTTCCAAAGTGCCGATATTATAGGCATAAGCCACCACGCCTGGTCCAAAGTTCCCCTTTTTATAAGGATGCCAGTCACATTGGATTAGGGCCCACACTAGTGACCTCCTAATAACTTGATTACCTCTTTAAAGACTCTTTTTCCCAATAAGATCACATTTTGAGGTATTGGCCGTTTTAGGACTTCAACATATGAATTTTTAGATGGCATCATTCAACCCATAATGGACTGAGGAAACAGGATCACTCAGATTTTATAAAAATAAACCCACTGATTTCTCTAAATGCTAATTAGTGGATGCGGTGTGAGAGATGCCGGGGAGCCCAGCTCTGTCCCCATCAGCGCGGCCACTGGGGCTGCTTCCTGGGCCACCCCTGGCAGCAGGTTTGCATATACCTGAATAAATGATTGTTTGAAAACTCAGGCCTGCAAGGAGAGTGACGAGCCACATCAGGGATGGGCCAGGGCGCGCCTCTGACAGAAGGACGTGCTCCTCACAGAGGCCGTCTGTCCTGGCTGGGAAGCTAGGGCCTGACATGCTGTTTTCTTCCTTCAGATGTGAGCATTTCCGTTCGTCGTTGGAAGATAACGAGGATGATATTGTAGAAATGAGTGAATTTTCATATCCTGTTTACCGGGCCTTCCTGGAATACCTGTACACAGACAGCATCAGCCTTTCTCCTGAGGAGGCAGTAGGTAATTGCCAAAGACTTAGGAAAACTTGGCAAAATGTGGAGGAACTGACAAGGTGGTTTCTATAGAACCTAAAAGCAAGTTGCTGTGAGGATAATTACAGAAGCATTTCCTTTTGTGTGTGTTGAATCCAAACATGTTTCCCTTGTTACTACTTCAAACAAAGGCTGACTGGACAGGTAAGAGACAGAAGTACCAAGTCATCACCACTGCAGAGCATTGTGGGCAGCAGCCTGGAGGAAGGGACAGAGACCAGGGGCACACAGCAAATCCCAGTGTCTCCACCAGGAGGGGCCTGGGAGTTCCACTTACTTCAGACCATGGACTCAGTCAATGAAGTCTGTGCCCAGCGACTTAGGAGGCTGGGAAAGTGGGCATTTCCATATGGCCATAAGTCAGCTAAAAATTATATGGTTTCAGAAGAAAGGAAGAATGGATGTGAGAGAGAGAGAGACAGAGAGAGAGAGAGAGTGTGTGTGTATGTGTGTGTGTGTGTATGTGTGTGTGTATATGTGTGTATGTGTGTGTATATGTGTGTGTGTATATGTGTGTGTATGTGTATGTATATGTGTGTGTGTGTGTGTATGTGTGTGTGTGCTGGGGTAGGGGTCATGGGAGAGGCAGCTAGCAGCTTCTGCCACAGGAGAGATACGATTTGTGTTTAAAAGATCAGTTATTATATTGGTTCAGATGTGAGGTGATGGAATCCTGGGTTGGGGTTGTATAGCAGTGGAAGTGTTGAAAAGAGATCAGATTGTAGATACATTTTAAAGATGTTGCTGATGGGATTTGCTGATGGATGGGATGAGAGGTGTGAGTTGAGAGAGAAGGACAGCTGCACTGAGGTGCTTGGCCTGGGTAGCCTCTTAATGGAAGTCCTGTTCACTAAGGTGAGGAAGATGGAGAACAGGCTTGCTCTTGACTTTGAAAGTCAAAGGAGTTTCAGCTGCCCATTAGGTACCCAAGTGGCAATTTTTTATAGGCCCACCCCTAAAATTTGCAGGGCTCTAGCCAAGACTCCACATGGAGACCTATGTTCCATATGGCTCCATTGTTTTCAGGTGGGCTCCACCTGAAGCGAGGCATCTGCGTCATACCCTAAACTAAAATAAAGTCAGAGCAGAGAGAAGAGTTAATGTTTAAAAAAAAGGAAGTAACCAGAGGACTAGACAACACATAAGTGAGTATTTCTATAACTTGGGGTGGACATCAAAGGCAGAAGCTATAAAGGAAAGGATTTATAGCTCTGGTTTCAAAAGATAAGAAACTTTTATCCACCTAAAAATACCATAGAGAAAAATTTAAAGTTATATGTCAAGCTCATGAACTTCAGATAAAATATGTTCAATCCTCCCACCTTGAAAAATGTTCATTTCATTAAGAACTGAAAGGACACATTTTAGTTTTAGTTGGCATTTAGAGTTGCAGGACCCCTGGAGTTGTGTGCCAGAGCCCAGTGGCACAGGCAGGACAGACCCCTCCTCCAGCAGAAGGGTGTGTGGGTACGCTAGCTTGCATGTCCAAGCTCTACCCACCCCCAACCCAGGTTAGCCTTTGGGTCAGGGGGTCTGCACATTGGTGATGGGCTCTAAGGGAGGAAATACCCACACAGATGGCCTCAGGGCTAATTATGCAGGCAGTACCAAGTTCCCAGGTACCCAAAGTGTGATCTAGAAGTGGGCATGTGTCTCCTTGCCACCCTGTGCTGAGGGTGGGTGTAGAGGAGGCACAGAGCTGGGGTTTGGGGCAGTGTCCTCTCTCAGGACAATGCTGCTGGCTTGTGTGAGTCTGAAGCTTGTGGCCAAAAACAATGAAGCCATTCACAACTCTCAAGATTTCAGAAGATTTCAGTGTCCTCCAGTGGGCTATCTGTCTTTCCTCCATAACTCTGATAATATTTCTTACACTAAAAAGCAAGTTTCCAACCAAATTCTACCATGTGTACAAGATTTATTAGCAGATAAGACAAAAAAAATATGGTAATAATTAATATGCTGAAACCTCAGCTCTCTGACCTTTATACACTCTGTTAAGTACCTTGCATGAAAAGTTAGCTTGAAGTGCACATGACAATATTCTAGTAGCCGGATTCAGCTAACCTTTTGATCCTGGCTACTACTCATTTCACCAATGACAAACTAATTCTGACATTCTTTATGCTAATTACAAATCCTCCAATGAAGATTCAGAAAAACTAATAGGATTTTTCAGATGCTAATTGACTGCTTCAGAGTATTTCCTATCATTCCTTGAGGTTAATTAAAATTAATTTACATGTGTCACTTCACCCAGTCTACATTGAATTACTTGAAAATAGGTGATAGGTAATCTAACAGGTCTCACCTGCATATATAGATGATATTTAAAACCCTGGGGCTGGAGTTCTGGGAAGTAAGTGAGAAAAGTATCTGAGGATTTAACCCTGGGGCACTCAAACATTTGGAAGTCAGGAAAAATGGTCCAGCCAGGAGAACTGAGGAGCAACTAATTGAAGAGAAGAAAAATGCAAGCAAGTGACAAAGTGTCCTGAGGAGAGCATCATCAACCATATCAAATTCTGTGCCAATGTCGAGTGAGAGGAAACCAGAGAATATGGCACCCTGGAAGCCATTGTGACCGCCACAGGTGTGACTGCCACAGGTGTGACTGCAGTAGTGATGGGGATGGGGTTCTGCTTTGAATGGCTTGAGGTCTGAATGGGAGGTGGGAAAATGGAGACAGCAAATACAGACAGCTCTGATCAGAGAAATGGGACAGGGTAACAGGAAGCAGACACATATCCATGAAAGGATTTCCTTTCCTTGTCTGTTCTCTTTCTTTCTCTTTCCTTTTTGTCGTGGTGGACACTTTTATAGCATGTGTGTATGTGCTCCTGGGAATGGCCCAGGAGAAGCCCACATTGAGATTGCAGGGAAGGGGTCACTCGAGGAGCACTTGCCTTTTTTTTTCTAGGAAAAAATATTAAAAATGAAATATTAAAGCTGTGCTCCTGTTTTTCAGCCACTAATGATTTGTGTATCATATTTGCTCAGCTTGGCTGCCGTCCTGGGTCGAGCCCCACATTGAAGTGTAAGTGTCGGTCAGCATCAGTCTATTTGCGCAGTGCTTCACTGAGGATTACATCCAAAATAGTGTCCAGATCATCTGTGAGTGGCTGAGTGGGCGAGTTTAAATCAGGATGCTCAAAATTACTCCCTGTGATAAACACTTCTTTCCACCAGGACTGCTAGACTTGGCGACATTTTATAGAGAAAATCGTTTGAAAAAGCTCTGCCAACAAACTATCAAGCAAGGCATCTGCGAGGAGAACGCCATCGCTCTGCTCTCGGCTGCCGTGAAGTATGACGCCCAGGTAAGGAAAGCCTGCTTCTGGCTGCCGGCCTCCTGGGGAAACTGAAGCGAGGTGTCTGCCTCATACCTTAAACTAAAACAAAGACTTAACGTAAAAGAAAATATGAAGTAACCAGAGTACTAGACCACATATAAGCGAGTATTTCTATAACCTTGGTGTAGACATCAAAGGCAGAAGCTATAAAGGAAAGGATTTATAGCTCTGGTTTCAAAAGATAGGAAACCTTTTATCCACCTAAAAATGCCATGGAGAAAATTAGAAAGTAATAAGACACTGGGAAAAATATTTGCAACATATAATGAAGCCTGTTTACCAGAGTAAATAACAAAAAGAGAATATGAACAGTTTGGTTGAAAGAAATGGACCAAAGAACAAATGATTCTATGAACAGACAAAAAACGTAAATGAAACAAGGTATAACTTTTTGCCTGTCAAAGCAGGAGTATATTTCTAGAGATAATATATAGGATCAGAATAATGGTATTCTCTCCTAAATTGCTGGGGGGGTACAAATTGGTATGGAGAACAACTGGTATAATATGTATTAAATGCCTTAAAGACATAATTATTTCAGAATTCACTCATAAGTATTTACCTTGAGGAATTAATCATGGATTTGGACTAAGACTCAGCTTCAAAGGTATTTACTGCAGCAATTTATTAATTTTAAAAAAGTAGTGAAAGGTCAGTGTGAATAGTGGAGGCTTGTTTATAAAATGCTAATACCAAGAAATTATGCAGCTATTCAAGATATATCACTAAGTGAAAAACTACGATCCTATTTTTGTTTTTTACAAAAGTATAAATAGCTGAGTAAAAAACTAAAATTCATTATCTACATAGAAAAAAAGACTGAAGACTATGGTTAGTGGTTATCTTTGAATGGTAGAATTATGGAGGATTTTTATTTCCTTCTCTTTGCTTATTTTTTTGAACTTTTACAGTGACCATGTATTGTTATGATAATAAAGAAAGGAAAGAAAAGTGATCTTAGAACCAAATCTTTAGGAAACAGGCCATAACTTCTTGGAGTCAGTTTCCTTTTGGTAGAAGGATATCCTCTCCTTTCGTCAAAAGACAGAGACATTTTAGTAGAAAAAAGGTTATAACTTTTTTTCTGTTTATGTAAATAATATTATGTTTATTAAAAAAAATTTATAAAAGACAAAAAGTGTGAGGAGGGTAATGAATTATCAGCCAGAGAACAATTAGCATTTTCATATAACGGCTTCTGAGTTTTTGTTTTGTGTCACATTATGTATTTGTAAATACATTTAAAGTCTAGGTTATTTTTTTTCCCTTAACATTAAAAAAAAACTACTACCTCAAAACATTGACATTTAAAAGCACAGTGAACGTTTGTTTTATATCAAGGCAATAATATATTGGGCACTTACAACACACCATGTTTCATGCTCAAATAAAATCCATGCACTTTTCTTTTTTTTTTTAAAGATGGGGTTTCACCATGATGGCCAGGCTGGTCTTGAACTCCTGACCTCAGGTGATCCACCCACCTCGGCCTCCCAAAGTGCTAGGATTACAGGCGTGAGCCACTGCGCCCGGCACAATCCATGCACTTTTCATAGTCTGTGCTTTAGAGTCATGGTGATGAGCCATGGTGATGGAGGGCCGTCTCCGATGTCAGTATGGTGGCACATGGTGTTTGCATCTGAATCAGGCTTCATTTTTAATACTTTTTCATATTCTCTATGTGAATTATTTGTCTGGCTACCTTCCAGCTCTTTGTTTTTCTAGAAAGTAAGCACTTTGAGGCATGGCAGGCACTTTGTTTTACTCACAACAATATCCCCAGTGCCTAAGATGGCTTCTGACTCACTAAATACTCCTGTAATGGATGTTCAGTTTTGCCTATAGAGGTGTACTGTTTTACTACAGCCTGTCCAGCTAATTGCTGTACCCTAAATTAGCATAATAGACTACAAGTAAAATATACTGTATATGTACTTAATGTAAAACACAAGCTTTCGTAAATAAAGAACAGTGCTGTATTTGATCTGCCTGGCTCAAGTAAGCAAAAAATGAGCTCTTTCAGCAAATTACTATCCCTCATGCTGGATTGCCACTTAGTACATAATTAATATGAGCCAGGGTTTATTCTAAGCACAGTTCATGTTGCATTTACGCCTAAAAACAACCTCATAAGACATAGGCATTATTATATTAGATCCAATTTATAAATGCAGAAACTGAAGCTTGGGGAGATTAAGTAATCTCAGTAAACTAGTAAATTGCAAAACTGGAATGCAGTCCAAGATTGGGCACATTTTAAAACCACATGTTTAACTACAATTATCCATTGTCCTCAGTATTTTGAAATCAGGAGTATTTATGCATGGATTCAATGAATATTCACTGAGTGCCTGTGACAGGCCTGGCACTGCCCTAAGCACTGGGGTACTGCAAATGAACAAAACAGACCAAAGTCTCTGCCCCTGTGGGAATTTCTGGTGAGGGGAGACGAGTGATAAATAAATGAATAGGATATATAAGTATGTCAGATGGTGACAAGTGATATGCAAAGAAGTAAGCCGGGGAAGCCAGCCTAGGGACTACCATGCCGAGATAAAGTGGAAATTTTAAATAGAGTAGTGAGGGAGGCAAGACATCACTGAGCAGGTGACTCGAGCAGAGACTCAAAAGAGGTGTGGGTGGCGTGTTTGGGGAAAAACAAGACTGGTGTGGATGGTACAGTGGGAAGGGAAGTAGCTGATGAGGCAGGGGGATGGTGCAGTGGAGGCACATGGTGGTATTGTGAGGGAGGAGACAGGGCCCACAGAGCGCACATGCAGGTTTCAGGAATCTGAGTTCCAAGGGGAGTGGCCATCACAGGGTTTGGAAAGGAGCGGACGTGATCTGATGTGCATTTGAAAGTAATCCTCCTGGCTGCTGTGTTGAGGGGGGAGAGAGAGAGAGAGAGAGAGAGAGAGAGAGAGAGAGAGAAAGAGTGTGTGTGTGTGTGTGTGTGTGTGTGTGTAGCGGAAAAAAGGTACTTAAGCTGTATAATCCAGTTGGGAAGTGTGTGTGTGTGTGTGTGTGTGTGTGTGTGTGTGTGTGTGTGTGTGAAAGAGGGTACTTAGGAGACTGTATAATCCAGTAAGTGATGATGGTGGATTGGTCCAAGTTATCACCTGTGGGGATGGAAAAAGTGACTAGATTTTGAATACATTTTGGAAGTAGAGCCAACAGGATGTGCTGATGGATTAGATATGAGGAGAGAAAATAGAAGACTTAGGAGGTTCTGGGCCTCAGCAACCGTAAGGATGAAATTGGCGTTTATTGAGATGGAGAAGATAGAAGCAACATTTTGGGGGAAATATCAGGAATTTGGTTTTGAATATGAGAAGTATGTGATGTCTATTAGACATCCAAATGGAAATGTTTAATAAGCAAATTGGATAAGCAAGCCTGGAAGTCAGAGAGAAGTGTACTGAAGTCAAAGCTGTGACGCAGTGATGTGACAGGTTTGAGGATTAAGTCCTGGGCACTCCGTGTTTGGAGGTTGAGGAGATAAGGAGATACCAGCAAAGGAGACTGAAGGTTGAGGAGATAAGGAGATACCAGCAAAGGAGACTGAAGAGGAGTGAGCAGTAAAGCCAGAGAGAAACCAGCAGACCATGTCCCAGAAGCTGGGAAAGAAAGTGAAACAGGAAGGAAGAAGTCCAAACCACGCCAGACGCTGCTGGCGTGTCTGCAGGAGACCTGAGAACTGACGAGTGGGGTCTGGCAGTAAGAACGCCTGGGGGGCCTTGGCAAGCAATTTTAGCCTAGTGAGGCAGGAGGTCTGATTGGAGTGTGGAAGTAAGAAGAATTGAAGGTGGGGAATAGAGGCAGCTTTTCGTGGGAATTTTATTATGAAGATTAAAAAGAGGAAGAGGTTTGCAGGCATTTGAGGTAAAACTACTTTTTTAAGATGTAGGAGATGGAAGGTGTCTAATGGTGCAAATCACTCAGTGGAGCGGAACAAGCTGGTGATACAGGGGACAGTTGTTAGAGCACAGCCCTCGAGTAGGTGGAACAGTGGGATCCAGTGACAGAGCAAGGGGCCCTGCTTTATGTAGGGGGTTGGACCATTGATCCAGAGAACATCATGTGCAGAGGCCTCTGTGTAATAGGCGAGGAGACGTGGTAGGACAGGCTTGTGGAGGTTCTTTTCAGGTAATTCTGGTTCTCAGTGAAATAGGAAGTCATGTTAGCTGAGAATGAGAATGAGAGGGGAAATACCAGTCTGATGGGAGAAGTATGAGAGTCCTGTAGGAGAATGAGCAAACTAGGAGAATGTGGTTGGATTGCAGGACAGAATAAAGGGCCCGGTTTTGAACATGAAGCTGTATAAAGTGGTAGCATTCAAAATAGGCTACATTCTTTAACTGAACAATAATGAGGGCCTTGTTTTATATGGAAAGAATTCCCCGATAACCACCCTATGCCAATTTATTGAGTTCTTAGAATCACAGGACTCTTTCAAAGTCCTGCCCATATTTAATATTTAGGGGAAAAACCCATTCTAGAAAAGTAAAGGAGCATGGATCTAAGTGATAACTTTTTAGGGTCCTTTCATTCTCCCATTAATTAGCAATTTTGCTGATGCTGTTGAGATCTGTGAGGTGTAAAACTGTTGTGCCACCTAACTCCAAACACACTCTGTGTGTGGTATAGGTAGGAATTTCTCCATTCCTCTCTGTAGAGTTCAGCCAAAGAGATGATGCATCTCTGTCTGGTTTCACTTTCATAGGCTATAGGCAAAAATGTCATTTCTAAAAATTTAACCAACAGCACATAATTTTAAATGGATCCTGGGATAGTCAGCATGTATCAGTGAAGCACATTATATATAGTGTGCTATGATAACAAGTGGGTGTGTGAATTTCCCTGTTTATCACTGAGGGCTTACCTGGGACAGAGACACATCATATTGCTGGTGTGGCACAGCAGCCTGCCCAGTTACGCTCAGGCATGAAATGAACATTTTCCTAGTATAGTTTCTTTCTTTTCTTAAAAGAAACTGTACTGTAGGTTTATATGTACATTGGCAAGGCTATCAGCATTGCTATTTTTTCTGTCTATTTTTTCCATTTGCTATAATTTAGAAGAAAAGGCTGTCATGTAATATGCCGATGTAATTGCTTAAAAAGTATTTGGGGCTTTCTTTTTTTTAATAAATTACCTACAGTAGCTTGGAGAAGAAACTTAAAAACTGACCACCACCTAGTGGCATTTTGTCCTGGGCCAAGTAACCTAGGGTTTGAGGCATATCGGAGGTCTCCGCAGCCTGGCCTCACTTCTTCAGGATCAAAATGCATCTGGTCAGCCTCATTCTGATTCTCAAGTTATAGTTCTAATCAAGAGAATTACTACAGCATTAATCTTTGGCCCAAAGTGCACTGCAGTAAGCCAGAAAACACTAATCTGTCGGATCTCTCTTACCAGAGCCTTGGAAGTCATGATTTCTTTAAAGCATTTTCCCAGTTGAGATTATTGAAGGCATACGTAGTGTGATCAAATCCATCCATCCCATCCTGTGTCATCTCATAAAGGGAAAAACGAGTGGCCTGTTAATGACTTCAGAGCAGCAGTTTCCCAGCATTACTGCTTTTTATGGCTTACCTTTTTCTTCCACCAATTCTTTATAGGCAGATGTACTTAAAGACCCTGATATAAATATAAAAGAGGAGTTATAGAGCTTTTGACAGATATTGAAAGTGGAACCAACAGTTACAAATACTGTCACTAGACAGAGGAACCAAAGATTTTGTACACTCACCTGCCTATTTCTGGGAAGAAAAAGTCAGATTCTTTGCCTAGGTTAGTGTGGAGGAACTTAAATGTTACTCTGTGCTATTTAAATTTTTACAAGCATAGATGATTCATATGTGTTATACTTTTTATGACTATTCTTGAGGTATTCCCATACTATCATTTCCTCCACTTGGCTATCACATCCTTTTTCCTTGCCTAACTTGTTTTAGCAATTTTCATGCTATGTTGCATTGAATTAGAAAATGTGAATTTATTAAGCCATCTGTGTTGTTGTTCCTAGGATTTAGAAGAATTCTGCTTCAGGTTTTGCATAAACCATCTGACTGTGGTAACACAAACTTCAGGTTTTGCGGAAATGGACCATGATCTCCTGAAGAACTTTATCAGCAAAGCAAGCAGAGTTGGAGCCTTTAAAAATTGATCCCATCTGCAGGAAAGGAGTTTTTGAGCCTTTCCATTTCCCCTGCAAAAGCCAGAGATGAATCACTTCTCTTTAATTAATAGTATGTATTGTGAGCTACATTTGGCTGAGTACTTGTATCTGTCAAAAGAAGGATGATGAGTGGTCTTCATCTGCCTAAATCCAGAGTTTACGTAGAAAGCATTGAATGTTCTGATCAGATGCGACTAAGTTCAAGGAAAAAAAATTGAAATAATCTTATTTACCGTTTCCTCTTTTGAGTCACTTACATTGGTACCCTGGTCTCAGTATACGCTATTCTGGCCCAAATTTCCCATTATTCAGCTGGCTAATGCCACATACATAGCTTGACAAGGAGTGCTGTCCTTACCACATTTTCAGCATTCAGCACAGTGCCTTGCATATAGTAGGCACTGAATTTACTATAAATCTTCAGTATGTCCTGAGAACAACTTTCATTGTGGAATACTGAGAGAAGGAATAACTTGCACAAAATAAACTTAAAACAGCCTGTAATTATTGAGGTTCATATTCTTCTGGCATGTCATTCTGAGAAATTATAGCTAATTTCGAGCATTATTTAGAATTCACAAAAGGCCTTGGCAATTAAATTGTCAGAGGCCCAAGGGCTAATTTTAATTTTTTATTTACTTGGAGTCATTCATTAATTTCTCACATGAGATTATGGAGTCTGAAGTATTATCTTTGAATGAAATTCCTGGGCTTATCTGCCTTACATAATCACATAAGGTCCTTTGCTTTTCTTTTGTGTTAAGAGGGATTTGCCTCTGTAAATGAAAATTACGATGTGTTTTTCTTGTAGCTGACTTTCACGTCACTATGAAATAGGTCTCTTAACCTGGCACCAGTATAACTTAAAGTATTAGCTGAAAAGGAACTGATACTTACATTTCATGGACAGCATTAACAAGAATGAGACAAACTCACACTTTTTAGACCAAAACAAATTACCTAATTGCAAAAGAGAAACTGGAATGGAACACAGTGTCAGATTCTTCTATTGTGTATCTCCCAATATCATGTAAAGAAAACCCTTTTGGAATTAATTCTTGTTCTGATGCTGAACTATTTGATAATAAAGTGCTTATTTGCAGATAACAGAACAAATGTGTTTTTTTTTTTTTTATCCCAAAGCAGCAGCCAAATTAAAAAATTATCAACCTCATGTCTTTTAGAGGTACATAAATCAGTAGGATATATTATACTCTTGTAAAGCAGTTACTCAGTCTCATAGTAAAGCCCACCTGGAACACAAATAAATTTTAAACAACCTAATTATTATTCATTTTATTGCCTTTGCCTGCTCTATATTGGTGAGGTGACTTTTTGAAGACAATTTTCATAGAGCAGTTTTAGGTTTACAGCAAAATTGTGAAGAAAATAGAGTTTTCCCTTATAACCCCTGCCCTTACACATGCACAGCCTTCCCCGCCATCAACATCCCCCACCAGAGTGGTTGAACCTACTTGGACACATCATTATCATCCACAGGCCATAGTTTATATTAGGGTCCATCATTGGTGGTGCACATTCTGTGTGTTTTGACAAATGTATAATGACCTGTGTCCATCACTACTGTATCATACAGAGTAGTTTCATTGCCCTAAAAGTCCTCTGAGCTCTGCTTATTCATCCCTTCCTCCTTTCCCACTAACTTCTGGCAGCCCCGGATCTTTTTACTGTCCCCGTAATTTTTACCTTTTCCAGAATCTTGTATCTTTGGAATCATACAGTATATAACCTTTTTGGATTGGCTTCTTTCACTTAATAATATGCATTTAAGTTTCCACCACTTGGCTTGATAGCTCGTTTCTTTTTAGTCCTGAATAAATACTCCATTGCCCGGATGTACCAGTTTATCCATTCATCTTTGGAAGGACGTCTTGGTTGCTTCCAAGTTTTGGCAATTACAAATAAAGCTACTATAAACATCTGTGTACAGGTTTTTCTGTGGACATGTTTTCAACTCCTTTGGGTGAATACCATGGAGCATGATTACTGGATATGTTAAATGTTTTGCTCTTTGGGGGGATTTTTTTTTTTTTTTTTTTTTTTTTTTTTAAGAAACACTCAAACTGTAATTCAAAGTGGCTGTACCATTTTTCATTTCCTTGAGCAATGAGTAAGAATTCATGTTACTTCACATCCTCACCAGCATTATGTGTTGTCAGTGTTCCAGATTTGGGCCATTCTAATAGGTGTACATTGCTATCTCATTGTTTTAAGCTGCATTTCCCTGATAACATATGATGTGGAGTATTTTTTCATGTGCTTATTATGCTAGCTGCATATCTTCTTTGATGAGGTGTCTGTTCAGATCGGTGCCAATTTTTAAATCTTTTTTAAAATTGTTTTGAGTTCATTGTATATTTTGGATAACAGTCCTTTATCAGATACATCTTTTGCAAATATTTTTTCTCCCAGTTTGTGGCTTGTCTTTTCATTCTCTTCGTCAGGTCACATTTTGAATACATTATTTCTGCTATGATTTGGATGTGGTTTGCCCTTGCCAAAACTTGTACTGAAATTCGATCCCCAACGTGGTGGTGTTGGGAGGTAGGGCCTAGTAGGAAGTGTTTGGGTCCTCGGTGCAGATCCATCATGAATAGATTAATGCCCGCCAGCAAGAGTGAGTGAGTTCTGGTTCTCTTGGGACTGAATTGAAAGACAAAGTTTCTATCTGACAAACTGCTTAACCATTTTTCTGCAGACTTTAGAGGAAAAGAGTCAGAATGTCTCTAGATCTAAATCAGAATCTTATTTTTAAAACTATATACTTTTGTTCTCTTATTTTGAAAGTAGCCTCATACCATTTGTTTTCATTTTTTGGGTAAGTTTGCTATTTTATCCAACAGAGAACTCAGAATGGAAGTACCTATCGCATCAGTTCTGGCAGTTAGACAACCACCGTTTTTGTTTTTTTGGTCTTTCTCCCTCACCTTCCTGTGCCAGCTATAGCTGACTGGCTTTCATGGCTTCACAATGTCTTCCTTTTTCTTGCCTATTTCTGACAAGGTCTTCTCAAGCTCCTCAGTGCCTTTTTCTTATGTGAAATCATTTCATATAAAAATTGGAACATTCAAAGGGGAACGGATAGGCTTACTTGGGGATGAAAAATGGACTACCCTTTACACACTCCACCATGGGTCAGTAGGCATACTGTCAGAGTACAAGTTGTTACTCTGGACTCTTACCCCGTTTTTCTCCCTAAGCTTTGTTTTGTGTAGGTTTGCATGCTTCTTACCTCTGTACACACAGAACAATATATGGGCCTTTTTTTTTTTCTTTGACAAAGTCTTGTTCTGTCACCCAGCAGGCTGGAGTGCAGTGGCACCATCTTAGCCCACTGCAACCTCTGCCTTCTGGGTTCAAGCAGTTCTTCTGCCTCAGCCTTCCGAGTAGCTGGGATTACAGGTGCCCACCACCACCACACCTGGCTAATTTCTGTATTTTTAGTAGAGACAGCATTTTGCTGTGTTGGCCAGGCTGGTCTCAAACTCCTGACCTTGAGTGATCCACTTGCCTTGGCCTCCCAAAGTGCTGAGATTACAGGTGTGAGCCACCACACCTGGTTGGTCAATCTATGGGACTTTCACAGAATACAGATTTGAGGATTCTAATTCAGTGTGTCTGTATACGTGTCATACATATATATATATATATGTATATGTGTATATATATATATGTATGTATATGTGTGTGTGTGTGTATATATATATATATATATATATATATATTTTTTTTTTTTTTTGAGACAAGGTCTTGCTCTGTTGCCCAGGCTGGAGTGCAGTGGTGCGATCTTGGCTCACTGCTACCTCCACCTCCCAGGCTCAGGTAATTCAAAGTAGCTGGCACTACAGGCACATGTGCCAGCAAGCTCGGTGTATTTTTTTTTTTTTTTTGTAAAGACAGGGTTTCACCACATTGCCAAGGCTTGTCTCGAACTCCTGGATTCACACAATCCGCCTACCTCAGCCTCCCAAAGTTCTGGGATAACAGGCATGAACCACCGTGCCCGGCCCAAATTCAGTTTTTTTTTTTTTTTTAAATGGAGTCTTTCCCTGTCGCCCAGGTTGGAGTACAGTGGCGAAATCTCAGCTCACTGCAACCTCTGCCTCCTGGGTTCAAGTGATTCTCCTGTCTCAGCCTTGCAAGTAGCTGAGACTACAGTCGCATGCCAACACGTCCAGGTAATTTTTGTATTTTTGGTAGAGACAGGGTTTCACCATACTGGTCAGGCTGGTCTCAATCCTGACCTCAGGTGAACCACCTGCCTCGGCCTCCCAAAATGCTGGGATTATAGGCATGAGCCACTACGCCCGGCCCAAATTCAGTACATTTTAAAAGCTCCACAAGTAATTTGATATTCGGCCAGGGATGAGAATTAGTGATTTAACCCTTAAAACTTCTGATTCCAAATAATAAAGAAGAGCTAGTTTTAGATCTGAGAGATGACAGATGAGTCCTGGGTGTGGGTACATCCATCTGAAAAAACATGCTTTCTTTCTGGTCTTTGAGGATAGGCTTGCCATTGACACTCCTATGGAAAGGAAAAACATTCCTTTTTAAAAATTTCCTTCTAACAGAAGAGTGTTTGAAGAGCCTTAGTGATGTGTGAGAGAAAAGGTACATTTTCATAAGGACACTAAATCTGAAATTAATGGTTTTTTTTTTTTTTTTCGCACAAGTTTATCTTAGATTTTCCCAGACGTTTTGTTTCTTCTCTTGCTCCCATAAGGAAGTCAATGTTTTAGTGCTTCTAAAATAATTGCCCCCTAACTTAAGAAAGGTTATGATTTTATAGGAATGAAGAAGTGCTCTCATCTGCTGATAGAGTTTTGTGAAGATCCCATTGAATTCGTTTTAAAAGCAAAAGTTAAGAGCTGGGCGCGGTGGCTCAAGCCTGTAATCCCAGCACTTTGGGAGGCCGAGGCGGGTGGATCACAAGGTCAAGAGATTGAGACCATCCTGGTCAACATGGTGAAACCCCGTCTCTACTAAAAATACAAAAAATTAGCTGGGCGTGGTGGTACATGCCTGTAATCCCAGCTACTCAGGAGGCTGAGGCAGGAGAATTGCCTGAACCCAGGAGGCGAAAGTTGCGGTGAGCCGAGATAGCGCCATTGCACTCCAGCCTGGGTAACAAGAGCAAAACTCCGTCTCAAAAAAAAAAAAAAAAAAAAAGTTAAGAATGTTAAGTATGTTCTTCAGGTTATAGTTGATGTAAATTGCCAGTCATTCTAGACCTTGTCATGGAGAGTTTTATTTAGAGGCTGGATTATTAACCAGGAATAATGAAAAGAAGCAACTACAAACTATATAATCTTATCTATCTGATTATGCCTCCAGAGTTGGGAGAATTGTGAAGAGAAAGGAAAAAATCAAATTTTACTGTTATTTTTAATTCAATCTTTGTCAAAACAGAAACACAAAGCTTACAAATTTTCTCAGTAAATTAAGTTAAAAATCATAACATTTTGTATTTAGGAAGTAACTGAAGTTGGTCTGTGCAATAAATTTAGCCTTTCATATTGTCATTGTTTAATATGACAGTTGTCATATGTCAATACTAATATAGTCCCAAGATAATGGACACACACACACACAAAATGTATTGAGAATGGATGACTATGCTCACTGTGCACTAAAAGATGTAGACATTATACAGTGCTACCATAATAGATTTCTATTTAAGAAGCTACAACTGTGGTGGAAATTTAATATTTCTTAGAAGCAAGGTTTGAGTTGTCCTGTAAGATATCTAGTCCACAGGAAAATCTATTGAAACTCTATGTGTATACTATATTGGCCCTAAAATGAGGAACAAAAATATACTTCTAAAAGCAAGTTTCTGTGAAATCATCCAGATGATAATTGAACTAGTATAATTGGTTTCTTCCTGGCCATTTGTACCTTTAGAAAACTGTAATAAAAAAGTAAATAGACTGGTGTGGTGGCTCACTCGTGTAATCCCACCACTTTGAGAGGCTGAGGTGAGCGGATCACCTGTGGTTAGGAGTTCGAGACCAGCCAGGTCAACATGGTCAAACCCTGTCTCTAATAAAAATACAAAAAACAGCTGAGTGTAGTGGTGTGTGGCTGA